CGGGGAGCCCAGCGGCTGCCGCGCGCCCTGCCGTGGAGCGGCCCGCCGGCCTGTCAGCGTCTGGGGCTCGGGGGCCGCCGCGGGCGCAGGGCGAGGCGCTTGGGCGAGGCCGGGCGGCGCGGCTCCGGCCCCTCGTCCTGCCCGCTCCGCCCCGTCGCAGCCCCGCGGGGACCGGCTGCGGGCTCGCACGTCTGAAGGGGGCTCCCCGCAGCCGAGGCAGACCCGCTGGCCTCTGCACGTGTCCTCTCCGGGACAGCTGCAAACGCGAGACGGAGATCCCAGGTCCACCCCCTTTTACCGGGACACGCCAAGCAGCCACACGTGCCTGTGCCGCGTTTTGACATTTCTCGAAATCCTCGAGTTTAGCTAGTAAAACGCACCAAGTGGAGCATCTCTCGCGACGTGACTTGCTATCACCCAGCCTGTCGCAGTTGTAGAGTTTTTGCTAGCCACGGACCGGCAGGGCCACCTTTGCTCCTTAATTCATAATTCTAGGGATTCGCCTGCTGAAATCTTGCAGTCATTTTGCTTTGGTTGAGAAGTGTCTTTGGCATGAATTAGTAATACTGATTTTAAGACTAACATGTGCCTGGTAAAGTGGATGAATTCAATAAATTGTGCAACCGGGGGCAGAATAGCAAATATTTTGACTCCAGGTTCTTCCGTGGAGAGGTCTAAATCTTGGAAGCCCTAACTGGAAAGGTCTGATATCTTGGGTACCTGCTCAGGCTATTTCTGATGGTGGGATAACCCAAAACAGGACCTCCATTGGCATTTTCTAAGTGTCATCAAACTGCTGAATTCTTGCAATTAAAATGTATTTGTATAAATGAGGAATGTAGAATGAGGAGCTTGCAAAGAGCTTGTGTATATTAAAGGGCTGACATATATGTTAAAGGAACATTAAAAGGCATAAAAACTGTGTTTAAGGCATTAAAACTGAGACAACCGGAAGGGGAGGAAGAACTTCATATCTGCCTTTTCTTTCAGCTGCCATCCCAGATGCAAGAACAAGAGCACGTCTCAGGTTCAGACATCCCTGAGCAGGGGTACTAGGTACCTGCTGAACACAGGGTGGGCTTCCTTAGGTAGGCTTATTCCATGATCCTAGATGAAGTGTTCATTGGTGATTCTCTGGGGCAGTGAAGGCAGCGCAAAGGAAGAATACAATACCGGTGACAAGAGAATAACCATTTTATTAAAGATAGCGTACACTCAGTTTAGTTTAATACTGATTTTCCAGCTTTTAACTATCCCTATTATACATTCATTACTCCAAATTTCAAACAATTACATTAGATTGACATTATATTCATTTGCCAAATACTGTCTGTAATCTGGAGGAAAAAAAATACACCAGAGGCGCATATCTATATATATAGATAGTTATATATATAGATATATATACACAGTTATACAAGAGTTAAATTTCTCTATAATGTACAAAGAGCAGGGAATATATACTTTCTCTTTTTTAACATTTGTGTTTGAGACATTCAAAAGGAGAGAGATCCAAACCAGCGTATGTGGCATCACCTTTACCTCTGTTAAGTAGTAGACACATCAACTCCATGACTGAATAACCTCATCAGGAAATTTGCATGCATTAAAATAAACATGGCATAGTTTCACTCGCAACAGCGCGTTCTATTTGTTTTACATTTTCTTCATTTCTTGCAAGGTTTTTGCTTCTTAGAAAATCCACATTGTTTAATACTGAATTTTCTGTTTTACATTCATTTGGAACAAAATTCAGACTGAAGGGAAATAAATCATTATCAAAAAGTATTGATTCCTGAATGGATTTTTTAATAAAAACCTGTTACAGGATACAAATTTTCTGGAAGGTTTTTTTTTGTACATGCACAAAAAAATGCAGTCAGAAAAAAACATCTCCCAAGAGTGAAACTTTTTAAAATCATAAAATCAAGTTACTGTAATGTGCACAAAACTCCTCTGAGCAGTTCAGATGCACAGAAGCACCAAAGACAATAAGATACTTTTCCAAAATATAAATCTTTTCTTAAATATATTTATATATGTACTTATGTACAACTCTACAGAAGCTGAAAGACCATGAAAAGGGCTGTTAGCGATGTGTACAATGCAGAGGTTTCTTTATAAAAGGTTTCCCCACAGTAGCTTGTTTGCTTACCTGTTTCATGATATTTTAATAAACAAAATTTCACACCGTTAAGAATGAAATAAAGGCACTACTGATCTCTAGGTAGCGCACCAGAGCTCGTGTATTCTTTGATCAAGAGATAACTGAGCAGATGAAAATAAAAAAGAGCTCATCTCTTAACTCATTCCAGTGTCGAAAGCTTTACAAAACTGAAAAACATATAATTGCAGCTCTAAGAGCTTAGTGCAAATAGAAAATTAACAGCATAATTTTAAAGGTCTTTAAATAAGCTAAAATGTAACTAGTTTGGGCTTTCCCCCATAAATAAACAGCATGACATAATGGAAAGTTCTCTTCAAAGATCATACAAACTCAGAAGCTGGAAGTGAAAAAGGCAACAATCTGCCTCGTAAATTATTTATTTTAATTTTAGCTTAGTAAGGGCAGAATAAAATAGTTTGCTATGGAAGATCAAATATATCTTTAAGTCTGTTGTTTGTGAAGATGTTTGGGAGGGCAAGGGGGGCCGTCCTTTTTCCCCTGACAGCGGCACACTTGAATGCTGGTGGTGGACCGCTGTCTGGATAACGGAGCAAAGTAGCATTTCCCTGGTCCTCTCCTGCATCAGAAAGTCTCATCATCGTTGCAATTTGTAGCCCAGTGCCCAAACACTTCACAGATTTCACAATAGGGCCGTTCTTCTTTTCGGCTGCCGTGGTAAGTCGAATGTGGAGGTTCATCGGCTGCCTGTGCTTGAGTTGGACAATCTTCAGTGTCATGGAGATCGAAACAATCACAAATGTCACAGAAAAGGCGAGGCTTCTTCTTGACCTGGTTTTCTTCCTCACTGTCAAAGTTCAAAGTTTGACAAATAAGGCCAGACGCATTACCATATTTCTGTCTGAGATGGCAATTTTAGGCTGAGGAGTCCTCGTTTTGGGGAATGGTTAGGCATTGAGCTGCGCTAAAGCCAAAAGTGACGCAGGTCACCCATCCCGTCTCCCGCCACCTCCTCCTTCCCTGTTCCTCCTCTTACACCATCGCATATCCTCCACAGCCACCTCTTCTGTTCAGTTGCTTCCCTCTGATCGGCAGTGCAGGGACGGAAATCAGGGAGGGAGTTGAAACTTCCCTGCAAGTTCCTCAACATGGCCGCTCAGCTGAAGTTGATTGTGGGAAAGAGCTGAGTGGCAGAAACGGGGGACCACATGCCAGGCAGGGTTAAGGAAAAGGGGTGGGACTTGGGAGGAAAGACCATGGATGGGGAGTCTCCCAGAATGCATCTGGCCCATGGGCTGCATGGTCCTCACCTCTGTTCGAAAAGGGCTCACAAGTCCAAGGGAAAAGGCAAAGATACAAACGGCATTTACAGCATTATGCTGGCTAGGCAGGAAAAATAACATTTCTGCCTTCTAGGTCAATTTGAAGATGATCTGAACATGAGAAAGTCTCCCATACCTCTGCATGGCTCACCTTGGAAGCCTTTTGGCTGCAATAAGCCAGACACACATTAACTGCCGCTTGTTTAGAACTATGAATGGCTCTTAACAATTCCTACAGATTTAAGATTCACCTTATAATTTTTAATGCAAACATAAGGATTGTTAAAAACCCTTATCATACATTCTTCACTAGTTGAGTAGCACGGACACTTAAATCCAATAAAATTCCCAACTGATTATGTGACCAACCTGTCATAATTAATGACTACTTCTTCGTTGCCATTGAGAGCTGCCTCAGACATCATTTCCACTTTCAATTTCAGCTCTTCATTTTTCCTTTGAAGATCCACAATTACAGAATTCAGGAAGTCAATCTGAAGGGTTTATGTTGAGAAGAGAAGATAGGATTAGAAACGCAAGGTCATTTAAGGGGAAGCTTTTGCAGAAAACATTAGCTTTAAAATTAGCCTATCTGGCATAGGCAATGTGTAGCACAGAAACAGTACAGAAAAAACAAACTCTGCTGTCCTTATTTAAAGAGTACCTAAAAATATTCACTTTGAAGTGTGAAACAACATTAACCAGCCTCTTTATAGAATAATCTGGAAATGAGAATTGCCATACCAGCTAAGTAATTTACAAGGTACGGGGCCAAGAATTTTCCTATCCAGAAGGTGACTACAGTATACAAGGTTAGCCCAAGTCAGGAGAAGGCGAAGCTCTCCTGCCATGTGGCAAATCTAAGGCTGCTTTTTAGAGAAAATCTCAATAGCCAGGAATAGCTTTGCTGGCTCAGGCGAAAGACGGGGAGCCCTGGAGGAGATGAAGAGAGCGGGACCCAGCAAATGGCAGGCAGTGACAGGACACCGCTGAACACAGCTAGCAGCCACTGCGCCGGTTCCATGCATTCATCTGGTCCCCTTCAAAGCCACCCAAGGCCACGGGCAATTGCCACGACTCGTGGCATCAAACCTGTACATTCATCATGTGCCTTATGAAGTGCTTTCTTTTGGCTCTTCCAAAACTTTATTTGGTGCCCCTGAGGTCTAACATGATGGGTGAGGGAGGAAAATTAAGTCTTTCCCTACTGTCCTCCCCACAGTTTATGCCATTCCATGCACCTTTTCTTTAAACACAGCCTGGGCTGTTTTCAATCTTTTCTGGCAAGGAAGAGCCTCCAGAAAAGTTTGGTTGGACTTTTCTGCCCCCAACCCCTTTCCGGCTCGGTGCTACTTTGATACCTCAGCGGCTCCCAGGAGCGCAAGAGCAGCCATGCTAGATCGAACCAAGATCCTTCTCGTCCGGCATTCTGTGCCCACAGCGGGACCCCCCCTCGCCACCCCCAGTCAGTCCCGAGTGGAACAGTTCCCACCCATTCGTGTTTCCCAGCAACTCATGTACTCAGGCATGTTGCCAGCAGGGCTAATAGCCATGAAGAGCCTTTTCTTCCATGAACCTGTACTGGCCCTTTGAAAGCCATCCAAATTTGTGGCCAGCACTAAATCTTGTGCTGTATTTGGCTGACTGGCTGGAGTCAGGGCACAACCCCTGAAAGCTTTGTTGCGAGGCCCAGGGAGTCCTACTGCCAAGATGCCACGGCGTTTTTCACCCTTTGCCTGGCTGACTCTGCCCATGACACGGAGGACTAGTCCTCTCCATGGAAGGTAGCAAAACGCTGGGTCAGCCTCAGGAGAGATCTGATAACAAGGACTGCCTGGTGGGTCAACATACAGGTCATTAACACTGACAAAACATTTTTAATGAAGCAGAGAAAGCTGAAACAAACCATATGCTGATTGAAGGAAAATTTTCCCAGCAGCAGATGAAAGCAAGGGCAAAAGGGATGAGGAATTGGGGGGGGGGGAGGAGAGAGAAACCAAGCATTAGTATGTTAATTACACTACTTGCTGTATTAAGCCTAAATGCAGTGTGTTATCTGAAGGCAGGCCCGGGAGATACCAACTCTGAGCTCCCTCATCAAACCCTTCTCCCCATCAAGCAAAGCTGCATTTTTTGGAAGTTGTCCCAGGTCTGTAAAATTTGTGGAACTGATAGCTATCATTTACCAGTAAAATTCACCATTTGAGAAAGACCCCAAGCCCCAGCATATAACACCAAAGCAGTAAAGTGGGTCTCAGAAATGTAACACCCCAATCCGGTCATGTCTTTCCACATCCACCATTGGCTTTTCTTTCACCAAGCTGTCATTATGCACAATATGCCAACCAGTAGTATAACCAATGGTTGAGTTTACAGGGGTTGTGATACGTGAGCGCAGTTATGTTAACAAACCAGAAAGTTGTGAACAATCCAGAAAGAGAATCCTGCATTTTTTGTTAGGTTGTGAACTCAGTTATTTAAACCATAGGTTGTCATTATGTGTGAACGCAGACCTGTGGGTTGTTCTGACAGGCTACAGTGGCTGGAAGCATGACCAGCCACTCTACATGTCAGTGTTACAGCACTGCAAAGGCATTTATGATGCAAGGGAGCAGGTGAAAGAAAAACAGCCCACCGTTGGTTCAATCAATTGCTAAAGAATTGGTTCACACTTCACCACGGCAATTCCTGGGTTGTTTAATCCAGAAATTGCCAGGCTAAGTGAAATAATGCATGTACTGCCTCCTTCAGGCTCATTGTTTCCACTTTCGGTTAGCAGCCCAGGAAAGCCCCTTTTCTGGCGGATGAATGAACCTGGAAATTCTGGGTTTAGGGGTCAAACAACATAGGGATAACCCATAGTCTGATGCTGTTCCTGAGTTTTTAACAGAAAAAACACAGCGTACTTGTTGCTATGATTGTCTTGGGTTAAGCAACTCAAAAATTGGAACCAGGACAAGCACACGGGGTCAAATCTGGGGCAGAGCAACAGGCCATGGGTTAAATAAAGCACGTGTTAGTGTTACATGTGAACCAAGCCATCTTCTTGTGCTGATTGTTCCGCATCTTCACCAATCCCCACAGTCTGGCCCTCTCCTCATCTTTTCTGTCCATCAGAAATGAAGTGGTTGGGGATGAAACCCATATTAATAATCTCTGCGACCAACTTGCCAAATGCTATTTTGCAGTCAGTAAGTGATTTCTACATAGGGCCAAGAAGGAAGACGTAATACCTGGCTTTCTTGGGTACTGTCATTCTGGAGGGAGCCACTGGCTGCATTATCTTGGGAAAGAAAAAAAAAAAAGCGTGAAAAGATGTCCAAATCCTGTGTTGCCGCCATCAGAACTGCGGATCTATAGAATCCCTTGCTCTTCAAGAGCTTACAATTCTAAAAAATAATCCCAGATCAACAGGAAGAACATGTGCTGATATGGATAGAACAGCTCTCTGGTGGCCCAAGCCCAAGAGACATAGTCTGGCTAGGATTATCCATATTCCTGCACAAAGAACAAACCCTTCACAGCTGCAGAGAGGAGGGATTTAGATGCCGTGCGCTTCTGCCAGTTCGGGCTTCTGCCAGGGTCTCTGTTGCAGCCTCCCTGGGGCCAAAGTTGTCATCTTTTCAGCACCAGGTTAAGACCGCTCTCCTCATGGAGGCCTTTAAAGACTTCCCTGGTCTCTCCAGGGCCTGATACAATTAGCCAGGGGACTTTTATTCTTGGCCAGATCCATTGGATTGTCTTTTAACATTCCTGCATGTAATTTTAAATTAACTTTTAGTTGTTAACTGTTTTATCTATTGTATTTTATTATTTTTATACTTTCTTGTACACCACCCACAAAGCTTCAGCTACGGACAGTATAAAAATTAAATTAAATCAAACTGTGATAGATAGTGTGATAGTCTGGCGCCAGCCCATCTCCAGAAAGCTTTAACAGCAAAAAAAGCAGCAAACCGACCCGAGCTGGTTTTACCTGAGGAGCTAGAAAGAGGTTTCTGGCTCTCTTTCAGCTTCTGTTCCAGATTCTTCACTTTTAGCTCAAGTTTCAACTTATCAGACTCCAGTGACTGAACTACTGAATGCAGATTCCTCGCAGTGGCATTCTCTCCACGGAGCACTGTGACCTGCAAAAGTTAGAGAGAGAGAGGATGTAGGCAGAAAATAAACGTAGTGAGAGGCCACTGGAATAAATGAGCGAAGGCTATGCTGATCACCATTTCAAGACATGTTCCTGCACTATCTGGAGAAATCACACCTCTGACTGTCGGGAGCTGGCATCATGCTGGCACCTCTGCAGTGGGATGCATGGATGTGGCAGCGGCTTCATGAGCAGAGATAGTATTCCCCACCCCCTCAGAATAGGCTGCTCCCTCAGAGCTTCTCTGCATTTTCAGTTGCTGGGGGACATGAATTTTTCCTGGCGACATTACCCCATTGCAATGCAAGGTGTTGGTCTTGAATAGGCCGGAAACGGCTAGAGCGGGTTTCACAGCTGACTCCGCTCTGGGCTCTCCCTGGCCACATGGAAACGTCAGGATACGCTCCTGCGCCTCAACAGCCACCACTATGCTGACTGGGCGCGAGGGGCTGAACTGGCATCTTTGGCATGCACAGCAGGTGCTCCTCAACGGCCCTGGGGGTCATTTACTATGATCCACATATCTATCAGTCTGTTCCCCACTTGAATTATCTAAGCCACTGCAATGTGACTGGGAAAGGCCTGGGCTGCCTGTGGGGAGAGGGTGTTAGGGAAGGGGGTATTTTGTGAGCCAGGCAGAAGCTGGTAGATGGCATGAGTCCGATGCTTCTCAAATGTGTACCTCATTTTTGAGTTTTTCCAGTTCTTCATCTCTCTCTGTAATCAAGGCACTAGTAATACTGATGGATTTCTGTAAGCTAGCTCTCTCTTCATCAATTTCTTTTTTTAAGCTGGATTCTCTAAAAGAGAAAGTCAGACTGGTTCACAAGAGTTGTTCCATTAACTGAGCTTTAAAATAATTAAAAAGAGAGGCTGATTTAAAAAACAGTCTTGTATTAGTGAAACGGTTCTTATCTGAGAAAGATCAGTTCCAGTTTTTTGACTGAGACTATATATTTGGCAAAAATATTTGGGATTGTACAACAGTGAAAATAAAGCGAAAAGTTTTACCTACATAGATTCATGGCAGAATCTGCATATCATCGTATCCATTTGAATTTAAAGGAAGATGTTAATAGGATTGGGAGATAGAGAATTGAAAAAGGGGGGAAGGGTTGTACAAAGTGAGCCTAACTTTAGATTTTGTTACTTCTTGGAATAGTTATTAACAAGCAACAAAAAGTACATGCAAAGCTTAGTTACACACTTGTCATGCAAAGCAGGGATGAAGCTGGAATTATCAGCTGGTCCTCACTAATTTCTGTTAATGTTTGGATTTCTGCAGAAAGCAGTTTTTGAATCTTAGCAGTTGGGAGCATTTTAAGAGAGTGCAATTTGGCATATAACATACTAAAGCAGAAAAGGTAGAACCCCAATGATAGTCTTGTTCAGCATCTAAGGCAGCTATTCACTTCTCTCTTTTTGCACGCCTCGTGAGAAATTATTTCTCAAGCGATGCAAATCTTAGAACAGTATCGAAGAGATTGTATTTGTGAAACTTCAGTATGGCCTTGCTGAATTCTGTGGCTGGAGGTTGTTTATATGTGCCTGCATCTTAAAAGTTGGTTTGTGGCATTTCAGTGAAAGGAGGCAGTTTACACTTCTCCAGCGCCCACAAAAGGCTTGGTAAGCTGGAACTTCAGATTTCTCTGATAAAGTATTTGCCATCTCCTAAGTCTGATATACTGAACATTTAAAAATTAAGCAAGCAGTTTTAGCGACTGGTGAGTACTGGTATCAGTTCTAAATTATAGGTCCAAAAATCCATGCCTAAGCACTTGAAATAAGATACAGAGTAGTTATTGAAGAGGGAACAAATGAGAAAAACAAAATAAAACTACGTTTCTTGTAGGCTTCTTTGAGTCACTTGGGAAATGAGTATTTTAAAATCTTGAGTTTCCAATAATTTTCTATCACTGAGTCAGTCCTCAGGAGACACTGGAGCCCACCCCCTCCGCTTCTGTGAGAACCCCCTTGAGTATTATTTTAAGAACCTCACAGGGAAAGACCAAGGTTTGTCTAAAACTGGAGGAAGGTAGATGGTAGGGTTTGGGGAAGGACCCTCCTATCTTTCTCCGATGATCCTGCATTCTTCCTTTAAAAATTCCATGGAAAAGAACTGGATAGCACATGCAATTCCTATCTATTTCAAAGAGGCCTGTGCAAGACAAAACACGCTGCCACCACTGCCTTTTGCCAGGGAAGCGGCTGATTGTTTTAAACAAACAGGGCAATTGCTACCCAAAGAAATTAAGATCTGCTTGATGGAGAGGGAAACAGGGGGAGAGAACAGCTCATGCACATCCAGAATGCAAGAATTAAGAAAGATATAACCAATAGTACAGAGCTAAAGATTATTAAATGTCCATGGTGTCTACAGTTAGTGAGAACCGCGATAACCAGCATGTGAACGAAAGCACAATCCTTGCGCTAGCCCAAGATAAATGGCAAAACAAGCAACAATGGCGATACCCCGCGGAAGTCCTTTCAGAGTTATGCAGATGTTTATTCTTAGTAATGGAAGCAGCAAGTGGAGAATCTGGGATGTACAGACACAAAGGCACAAGCCACGGCTGCAGACGACTTTTTCCCCCTCAAAGACAGAGGAGGAATTGAAGAAACCAAGTCACAGCCCTGAACAGCTGCCCGGAGCAGGTCTCCTAAGCAGCGGAAAGGCTGTGTTTTTTGTTCCAGGAAACCTCAGTGACATTTAAGCCTCACTCTGATCCTGCAAAAGGCTTGAGCACTTGAGTGGAAGAGCCTACATGTCAAGGGTAGACTGCTGACTGCTCAAGAAACAGCAACAGACCTCCCAGAATTACCGGGCCACCTAAGCAAGAAGCAACGAAAGGGAGTGTATAAAATCGCACCAACCCCAACAGACTTGCTGGAATTGAACTGTGCACACTCAGGTGTGTGTGGGTAGGCGTACATGCACATAAGTAAACTCTATATACAGGAACAAAAGCCAAATTATGCAGATTTGCATATCCATACAAGAAATGCCAGGGGTCATGGTAGAGTTTATAAGCAACTCCTGACAACAACGAGAGCTGGTAACTGACCAAGGAAGAGCCAAAATCCTCACAACGCTGGTCTTTGGTGGGAAAAACACTGTTCTTCTGGGGCAACATACAAACTACACCTAACTAGCATTCACAGGTTAGTATACTATTTCTTCTTTTGACCAGTGACTTTCCATGGCCCTTCTGCAGACGGCCAGGAAATATTAGGGCTGTGATGTTCAATTGATTAAGCAGCTGGATGAATCAGTTCAACAGCCGAGAGACTGAAAAGCTGCTAAGGCAACAAGACGGAGCAACAGGGTTGTTATTTAAAAGGATGGCTGCTTTAATACTTGAGATGTCCCACCTCATCTCGTACAGGCGGAATATCTGGTGGGGGATCCCAGTGGGAACATCCCTCTCTTTCAGGAAAGCTTCTGACTGCACCCTGAGGGCTGGATGGCAGGAACACCAGGTGCTTCATCACGGGTCTGATGGCTTTACCTGTCATCTCCCAACCAGGTCAAGGAATTTCCCCCACATCGCCTCCCGTCTAGCTCTAAAGTGCTCTTCCTTGGCTAAGGCGGGCCAGCTTTCATGCTCTGCTTGAGAACCTTCACTAGGTAACAGTGAAACTGCCAAATCTGCCCTGCTTTGCCTTGCCGCCGCCTCCTCGGAATCAGACTGTAATGTGCGAGAGATGGGCTGCCTCTCTACATCAGGCTCACCTGACTTCTAGGAGTCCCTTCGGCACAAACCCCAAAGCTGATCTTACTGTAGGGGCAAAATTTTCTTGGAAATTCTCCTTTTGGCAATGAAGTGCCTTGGAGAAACTCCACCAATACCTATCTGTGGGTCAAATGTGTGGCCCATGTCAGGGTTGGTTCAACTGGAAGGCGCATGTTGAGTTGTAAACTATACAGATGGGACCTAGTAATTTGCAAGCTCAATCATGTGGAGGATCCTCATCGGTGTTCTTGCAAGGTGTGAGAACAGGTCACCCTCACGTGTAGAAGTGTAATTTCATGGACCGAATTGGTTCAGCGGGGCAGGGCTCACATCCATCTTGTGTTTTACATCGTACTCTGAAGCGACATTTAAGACTGCCAGGGGCTCAGATCCACCAGGAAGCATCTGCTGAGTCTATCCCGCTGAAGTGAGCAAATCGTTGCTCTTCTGCAGCTGCAGCAGGCATGCCTGATAGACTACACCCAGGGTAGCTGCCAAGGAGATCAGATGGGTTGCTTCTACTAGCCCCCGACTGGAAACGCTACCCAGATTCTTCCCTTGGCCACAAAAGAAATCAAGAAATTCCAATAATGAAGCAAGTACCTTAAAGTGATACTGGGCAAGCTTTAAAAATGCAAGATAACAAGAACCACATGTTAGAAACATGGAAGAGAAATGCAAAATACAGTAAAGGAAGAACTGAATTTGCACTGAAGTGGATTCTGTTGTTGTTGTAAAAACAAAACAAACTAAACAAAAATTATACTTAATTTAATGTAATATCTTACAAAACAAAAAATAAAACAAAAAGCAAGACACCAAGGGAACGAAAGGCAGCCAAAATATGTACAACAACTTTATTGGAGAAAAAAAAGTTATTTATTGTAACGTGGATAGACTTTCTTTAGTCTTACCATTAAAGACACACAGATATAGCAAAGGAAGCAAGGGTAGGAAAGGGAAGAGAGAGGAGTGAAATGAGTATTGAGAAATAGCGCAGGCTCAGAGACAAGTCAGACAATTTGCAAATCCACAATGGGTCTAATGAGCTGAAGTAACACCAAGACCCCTTTTTTAGCTAGAGAGCCCTGAATATCTCTAATACCAGCTTTCACATTTCACAAGGACCATTTTTGGGTAGGAAAGAGAAAAAAAAAATCATTCTTATGGATGGAAAGGTGATGGGGAAGATGGCTTGCAGGTCAATGTCTTATCCTTTGCATCACAAGTCCATGAGGTTGGACAGAAAACCCCTTGCTACTTCTCAAGCAACAGAAATGGACATTTGGGGCCAAATCTCTGGTTAGCTGAGCTCTTTGATCCACTATCCCACAACAAATGCCTTAGGCATAAAGGTGTTTTCTGCAGGCAAACCTCTAAAATTCATTCGTATTTCCAGGCCAGGGAGCCTGCTCTTCTTGTGCTACAGGGCTGAGTGGCACCACGGCAAACCCTTGGTGCGTGCAAAGTTGCAGCATAGCTTGGAAAAGGAAAGGACCAATGACTTGGTAATGGCATGTTTTCTGGAGAGCATGTGCGTCTTTCAGGATGTGCTGTGTCCTTGTAGTGTTAAAAGGTTAAACCCGGATGGTTTTCAGCTTCGTAAGCTCAGCAGTGCCACGTCATGAACATGTTTTGAACTGAGCAGTGGGGGGCTTTGTGCCTTTGCCAGATCGGCAAGTAAGTGCTTCAGAGGGTGCTAAAAATGGCACTGAATTATCTGGGTGCTGAAATGCAGAGAAGAGCGGGAAACATCTCACTGGGTGAGAGAAGATGGCACAATTAGCAATGTTAAATGCTTCTTAAGGTCAAGCATTTCTATGCAAATTGTAGAGGATGCGACTGCCTACATGTATTGAGTATTTCACATGCAAAGATATCTGAGCAGCAGAAATGTGTCGTTATTTCAACTGCAGATGGGTAGGAGCGATCAAAGGGTTTCCATCACAGGGTTTGTCCTATTTTTCTTCCCAATTTTCTGCATGCGCTTACCTCTTTTTCATCTCTAACAACTGGTTATTGAGGACAGATCTCTCTTCGTCAAGCTGAAAGACAAAAGCAAAGTCACATTTATAACATGCACAAAAAATTCCCTTTGATTTCAAACATTCTAAGTCTTCCCTTAGCTTGCAGAGTTTCAGTATCAAAATAATCTCTTCTTCCCAGAGATGCAAAATGAGAATGGAAAGCGAGCAAGGACCCTCACCTTGGCCCTGTTCGTAGATAATGGCTATTATTAGCTGGGATGTGATACAAATCGCCCTCTTGCTCTCCCTCTCGAACACACTCAGTCCTTCCTTGAACTTGGTTCAACTCTTTCTCGGTTGCAGGGGGGTCTGCTCAGCCCTGATGAGAGCGCGCCTCCTTCCACCCCTCCTAATCCTACAGCCTGATCCGCTTTACCCACCCACCCCTGCTAGGAGGTCCTTAGCTGGCCATTTCCCGCCATGTCCCACTGTGAGCCTTGGCTCTCAGGGCACAGGAAGCGGGACGCTTTATTAAAAAAAGAAAGCTGAAGAGCAGCCATGGGAGGTTTGGCCTAGAACAGCCAAACCAAGAATCGTGCCAAGAATGTACTGGAAGGCTAAAATAGTTCCTTCAGTGACGGCACAAACAAAGCACCCCCACCAGCACCCGAGGGCAGCTCTCAGGCAAGCGACTCAGGCGGATGCTCTCAATTTCAAGCCTTGCTGCTCAGGCCACAGACATCCAAACTCCTGAGAAGGTACTCGGAAGAAGCTTAAGGATAAGGCTGACAATTCGGAAGCTACAAGCTTTCACAAGCCACACTACAGGCAAACAAAAGTAGCCAATGGGATTTCCTCCCTTCTGACTATGGAAATGAGTTCTGCAGTTTTACCTCTGATTTGTTTGGAAGACAAACTGATACATCTTTTCTTCGGCCTTCCACTCGCTTCTTCACCTTACTGATAACCACTTTTGTTTCTGTATCATCTTTCCCCCTAGGTGAACTCTGCAATTTCTTCACCGCTTTAAAGAGGCATTTTTAATCAATTTCAAAGAAGCTAATTATTTATATAACTGTCTAGCTAACAGCACCACTTTTCTTAACCCCATTACAGGAAGTAAACAAGCAAACACAAGCCGTAACCTTTAAATATCCGTGTAAATAATTGATGAAACCATATTCATTAAACTTGCAAAATGTGTCGTGCAGACACAGTCTGCTAACAGACATGGGGCAGGATTTATATCGTTACCATAGCGATACTGCTCAAAATACCTGCCACACATGAAGGGGTCTTGTCACACTTCTCTTAGAAGACACTACATTCAAAGGCTGAAAATGAGGATGTTCTGGGTACGTTTCTTTACTATTTTTACTGCACAAAGAGAGGTCGGATTGTCTAAACGGTATGCAAGTTCCTCTCTTGCACTTTCAAAAGATCAGAGTTTTTCAAACCCCCTACTTTTGGGGAACCATGTTCACAGTGACTTTTTCCCCCCAGCTTTGTTACAGACTGCTATTCTAGGGGGTGTAGCCAGTTCACATAGGATGATGGCCAGGTTGATAAATCTCACAATTGCTCTGAGAGAGGCGACAGTGTATAGGGGAGCAAAGGAAATCTATCCTGCACCATTGGTTCCTCCAGGACCTGGCTGGCACATAACAACAGGAAATTGTGGGTTCATAAGCCACGGCATATGCTGGGCACATTCTTTTCTGAATATTGAATCCCCAATTAGGGATTGTTAAGTGACATCTGAATCCAGACACGATAGGTGAATTGTGGGTTAAATGACTCACAGATAACCTACAATTAGTAGCTAGGTTAACTGTGGGTTGTTTAACCTATGGGTAATCCAGAGTGTCCTGGTTTGGACATCATGTGGCAAAAAGGCTGTGGAATGTGCCGAGCATGTACCACAGCGTATCTTGGGTTAATTAGCCCATGATTTGCTATTATTATGTGTAAACAGATCAGCACCACCTACACTAACTGACAATAGCGCTTCAAATTTTTCCTAATCCTATTTGGAAAAGCCAGCAATTAACCCTGCATTTTTTACACTCAAAGCAATACCATAGATTTATGGTTCTGGCCCCAAGGATTCAAGGCACTGAACACACGCGAAAGAATTGCATGGATCCTAACGACGATTGAGAACAGAGCCTTATGCAATGGGACAATTCCTCTGGAAGCCACGGGAAGATGCGAGACGATGGATGTACAGTGCTGTTTTACAGCAATGGGAGGAAGTGACTGGCAAACTGTGCTTTCTGGTATTGTTTTGAACTTTAAGAATATAAAATTAAATTTAGTCTGCCTCTGGTTGGGCCATCCTTTCCCATGTCCTTAACTTTATAGAGAAGGGACGTACTTCCCCTTTAGCTGGGGGTTTCATAAAGGTAGGATTGTGGTGCCCTTGGCAAACAGGGCCAAGTTCATCAACCACAATTAGTTCTGACATGTTTAGCTTCATGACTCCCTTTCTCGTGCAGACATTCATTATTAGGTTACCAACCATTATCCAACCATTTTAAGCCTCGTACAAATCAAATTTTTAAAATCCATTTACGAAAGGATGCCTGCAAACTAAATCCATAAAGTGCTTTTGCTGGTGCAGGTCCAGGTTCGGAGCCTATAGCCGCAATTAAGTCTGCATATATTTTTAGTTTAAATTGATTAGTCCAGAGACTCTTGTTAGTTCTTTAAAGAGACAAAAAGATTTACGGTAAGAAGCTGAAAGGTAACACCTGGGATCCTTGCCTTACTTTCCAGTTTCTTTTCAGCTTCACAACAGCTGCAGATATAACTTTCACACCAAAAATGATACCAAGAGCAGAGCTACGGCATTCCACACATCCCAGTGTTGTGGCACAAGCACAATCACACTGCTGAGCGATATTTAAAAATTTTCTTTTTTAAATAAAGGAAAAAAAATAATCAAGTTCCTAGTCCTCATTTTTGCAAAATAAATTTCCAAGGGGAGGACTTGTCGCTTCTCTCCTGCTCTCATTTTCTTGTCAGCATTTTGTAAAGAAAAAAGGAAAATAGGATAATCCAAAAAGCTTCCGACCTTTATCCACAGAAGTAGAATTATTAAGATATCAAGAGTGTATGCAGTTTGCACTGAGTTTAAAAGTAGATTTTCTGTTACCTTTGCATCGAATACATTTAAAATCCTGACTAAGAGAAGACCAACAATAAAAATACATAGTGCTTGTGTTCGAATGTCATGCTAAGCCATGATTTAGGCATATGGCAAAAGTGTAGTTAATTTTAAGTTTGGTCAATGAAAACAAGGTCGCTTGATCAAGTATGGTATGGATCTGCTTTGTTTCAGTGAGTTAAGACAAACCTCTGTGTTTCTGGATCCAGATGACACGTTTTCTGCACCCCTCTTTGCCAATGTGCCAAAGGCGCTGGGACTGGGCAGCTTGTCCATGTGATGCTGAATTGCGGTTCAGTCTTACACCTGTGCCACCTGTTATGGGGCCACGCTCTCACGAGCTGCAGTCATTGTGAAGTCTGTGTTGTGCTCACGGTTCCTCTTACACTCTTGACTCAGAACTTATCTGTAAGTTGCTCCTCTGTGGTGTGCAAAGACCAAGCCTACACACTGGTCAGCAAAAGTGTGACCCTGGCCACTCCTATGCATCGCAATAGGATTTGTTCAGGAAAGGCCCCGTCTGGTTGTACATTTTAAAACACTGAGTCGACTTTAGAAGGAACATATATCTAGCCTTATATTTCATTTCAAAATTCTCTCTCTTGTACACACACACACACAATTTTTCAACTTGCTCATTAAAGCAAGATCCCTTGAACAAATTAGCATTGTCTTTACGTATTTGTATTTTAACAAGCCATTGTGGAACATCAGTCTAATGAGAATCCTATTATAGAGGTGTTAATGTAAGAAAAACCAGTGATTCAGGAAATTGGAACTCTAATTGAAAAGCTGAGTATCCTCTAAGCTCTCTCAGTGCAGCCCTTCCACCAGTATCACCAAACCTCTCTTTTCCCATCACCCTCTCCTCTCCAAACGATTCTTTAGGAGTTATGCAACCCCCCCCCCCCCCGCTTGTCTCAGATTCTTGTGGAGGTGATATCTGAGCAATTCAAAACTGAAGGGCTGCAGATGTGGTGCCCTGGTGATGGGCTGGTTTTGTGCGGCAAGAGAGAACTTTTGATGGCTACCGTTGCCCACGAAAACTCATGCCTCAATCAAAACTTAATCCATTTCTAAGCTGGCTCAGTTCCTGTTACTGTCCTGCTGTTACTGCTTGGAATGTTGCTCTGTAGGATTTGCATCATAAAAGGTAAATTTTCTAAAATCACAGGCAGTGTGTGTGTGTGTGAGAGAGAGAGAGAGCGTGCAACGAGCGAGCAAGCACACATGATTAGCTCCTAAGAGCCCCCCCCCTCCAGTGAATTCCACCTTTGGAAGAAGGAAGCAAAAGCACATACCTTCTGGTGACTGGTGACTTCTCCTTTGCCGAGCTCCTCTGCAAGTTTAACGTTTTCTTCTTGCAACGCTGCAAGCTGCTGGGACTTCTCAGCTTCTGCCAGCTTTAGTGCTTCTCTGTGAGGACAGGGAATGCATGGTTACCATAGGAACAGGGAGGACAGGGGGTGGAATGGTGGGAGAGAAATCAGCTTTGCAACTTGCAAAAAAAAAAAAAAAAAAGGAGCCACGTGCTTAATGAGATCTCTAATAGAGAGTCAACCCGCATCCCAAATTCCATCCCTCCCCCACCCCAGCTGCATCGATCCTCGAAAGCAGCTCTGTGGGCGTCAGCATGGGACTGCTTCTATTTCGCCTCGCCCCCTGCCACTTGAAACCGCAAGGAACAAACCAGAAACATACATTTGCAGCTCTAAGTGGGCTGGGTTGAACTTAACTAGTTTGACTTTCCTTCTCATTCATGGTGTGCATTGAGAGAAACAGATGAAGAATCCAGGCACCAGAAACTCCCCCAGCCCCACACGAGACTGGCCAAGCCTCAGCATCTGGAATCTCAGGATACCTGCAGCAACCAGTTCCTAAGGATTAAAGAAAACGCCAACTACTCTGGAGCTAGTGCCAGCTGAAGGAGCCAAGGAGAAGTAAGTTATGAAAGATGACCCGCCACGTAGAAATTGCCATAAAACGAGCCAAGGGTCTGCATTGTAGGGTTACTTCTTGCCACCAAGTGGCTTTTCAAGTTTCCTTCCGTTATCAGAGGATTCCCAGGGTTTCCACTCTCCCCTTATGCCCCCTACTCAAAATTTCTCTTTCCTTCAATTCTGCTCGTTAACGAGCAGCAGGCATCCTACATCTTGCTGGCTGGGAGGGGAACTGTCGGGGATGTGCCAGATGTTCAGAGGCTGACTAGGTACCACAGAGGGCAAGAGGAAGAAGCCCACAACTTCCCTTCTGCACGTCTGTGTGGAAGCGCTGACGTGCTGCATTACTGCACCGGCTGATTACTCATCATTCCCTGACACTTGGGGGAATGCTGGGGAAAAGCCAAGAAACAGCCCACGTGAAAGAGCAAGCACACCGTGCGCCGTGCGCCGGGTCATTCCCACCCTTCAGCGTCATTACTGGAAGTGTCATTACTGGAAGACTCAACCACTCAAGTTTAACATCTTTTCTAGAGTTCACTACCACTATTAATGTCTCTAAAGGACTGGAATCAGCTGGCAAGCTCTGCAAGGTGAGTTCAGCAAATAGGAACAGCCTCTAGTGATTAGGCTTCGAGAGTTTAACGAGTAACCAAAATGTTCCGTAAATCAACTCGGCCGACATTTGGATCATGGGCAGGAGGAACGAGGCCACGTGCTTGAAAACTGTGGGAGTTGCAATCCAACGCATCTGGAGGGCGTCAGGTTGGGGAAGGCGGACGAAGGCTGAGCCGGATCGGCTGCCCCTCTGGCCCAGTGTGATCAGTACCGCCTTGGCAGGACTTGGAAGGCTCTTCACACATCGGGTGGGCTGACATGACAGGCTAACTCACACTGCAGAAAGCGTGCGACGGAAAAACACACCATGCATTTCTCACAGAGCAAGCCTGACAGATGAGCGGGCTTGCGGTGGCTTTTTCTGCCCCTTCGTCCTCCTCAGTCCTCCAACCAGTCCTGGCACGGATCCCAGGAGCCTCTGCAGCAGAACTGACACCTCGCAACCCTTGGCCTTCCCAGGACGCAAGGGGCCTTCACACGACTCTTCTGTGGCATGTCTGCAGTGAGCTTTCCTTTGCTGGCTTCCATGGCAAAGTTTTTCCACCCCTCCCCTGCCCGGTGAGGACAATGCCTGCCTGTATTTCTAATTAAAACCTGTGCGTCTTTTGGTGTGTTTTTTTATTGGCATGCTGCGATCCTTGTCTGCTCGTGCAGCTCATTCCATTCATCCCGTCTTCCACCCACCCGCCCCGACTCCCCCAAAGCCTCTTTTGGCCTTGCTCCATATCCTCCTACGCCACTTTGAGCCCCCAGGTGCGTTTTGCGCTGCTGCAACTCTGCCGCCGCCCCCGGGCCCATCAGGGAGGCAGTGTGTGTGCACCCTGGCTCCTGCCTCCGCTGCTGCAGACAGGGCAGCTGCACTGTGCTCACGCCTCGCCTCGTCCCCCCCCCGACCGTGGACATATCTGTACGTAAAAAGTGCCGCATGTACAGAGGCCGTGAGATGATGCAAGTGGAGGAGCTAATGCCACTTGGTTTCCTGATTGCGGGGTTTAAATTCCATCCATTTAGGATTAGTCCTTTCCATTTTTTTCAGATGAGACCATAAATACTCCCTCTTCTAAAACTGTATGGCAGCGATACCTCTGTAAAGCGAGCCAGCCTCTCTTGCATATAACACCTACACACACCCATGCCCCAGTTACAAACTGAATTAGCACAGGAAGTCTGGGAGCAGCATCCTTTTAATTGAGAAAAAGCAGCTTCAAGAGCCTTTCTCCACTACACTATGTAATATCTACTGCTTTATGGACGGGCTTCCACAAATCCATCCCCACCATACACAGACCCCCTACACCCAATCCCAAGCTGGATTTATTTCCACTTTTATCAGATCAAGATAGAACAGATGCCACGCTGATCAAGGACAACTTCAGGACAAGCATCAACCAATTCACTTCTTCCCTGTAACCATAACTGATACTCTCTTATCGAGGCTAAACTGGTATGACACGGGGGACCGCATGACGCTAAAGATGGATCTGAGAAGGCCAGATCATTCAAGGTATCGGTAATAAAAAGTACATGTGCAGCCTCCTCCAAGTTTTGTTAATGGGCCCGAAGCAGAAAGGGCTTAAAAAAAAAAAACACGGAAAAAAACAGGTGTTCTCCCTCCTTGAGCATTTTCAATAAAGCCTAAATTGCATTGTCTGTGCAAATCTGTACTCCTACTAGGAGAAAAATCACATTTGTTCAGTTGCTTAAGTCTAGCAAAAGCTGACACAGCCTGGCACAGCTTCCGATGCTCCCTCAATTATTAAAAATCCCCCCACGTCCCACTTTAACAAACAAAATAGCACGATGGCCTGCGGGGTGAAAATGGCGTCTCCTGCTCCAGACTAGACACATCCCAAGGAAGGACCTCTTTTCCAGGCTGTTGCCAGAAAGCAAAGAAACTGCACATCGAATGAAACGACCAGAATGAGAGTGTCTAATATGCAATTAGTGTGTTGGGGGGTTTCATTTGGCTTTAAAGAGAAACAGAGGGCACCGGAATTGAGCGGAGTTTGACATGTACAGTTAGTTGCATGACACTGCTTGGATTCCTCTCTGTCCAGAGAGACTGCAAGCCGCAGCTGGTCATGAAAATTCAACATGTTTGTTTCAGGTAACACATAATTTAAACACACACACACACACACACACACACACACACCCATCACCACCACCACTGAAAATTAATAAAGGCTCCTTTTGTAAACAAAATCCTTTTGTTGGTTAGCATTAAGCACTCCACATTTTCTGGTATCTATAAATGTACAATCTTGCTGGTTATTCCTGTAAGGCACTACCAGTAATGCCATTAGTGGGATTAGTAACAGGCAGAGCAATGAAAAAAGAAGAGATCAGCAGCGCCAGAGAATGGGGTGGCAGGGAGGGCATGGGCTACAAGACTATTTTAAAAGCACCGGTGCCCCCGGGTGGCCACACCATGTACGGTTCCAAATCAATAAGGAGCATACACACTAGAGCAAATGCAAAGGGTTTAAATCAGCTGCTGCTTTCAGAATATCCAATAACCTCAAGTGACCCATAACTGCATTTCCTTTATAACTTTCAAAGGGCAGAATGGCTCTTTTAAAAAACACGCACAGTACTTGTTTTGTAACTGCTTGGAAACACACCCCACGCCACACACTTACATTCATGAATAAAAATCAAGGCTCACAGGGGTTTTACAGGGCAAGACTTAAATACTTACACTTCTTTTCTAATCGCTTCCAATTCTTTGTTCTCCATGTGGCAAAGTTCCTGATATTTTTTAAGCTCCTCCTGATTCTTTTGGTGGTTTTCTTTAAGGGTATCCAACTTGCAAGAGAAAAGGGGGAAAGGCTTACGTTTTCCCAAGGCTGTAAGCACCATGGGTAGATGAAGCACCGGAAAGAAGCAGTTAGTTGTCCTGGCATTTATTTCTTTTAAAAACAGCTGCAGAGGTCCACAAAATGGCCTGGGACTGTGGCACTGTGTGTGCGGTGGAGTGTACTTAAATTCTTGTCATCCGTTCACTGAAGAAAATCTAAATTGCCTGCTCTCCACCACATACGAATTAGGGAAAACACATATTTGCGCAGTGTTTCCCCTAATAGTGCAAATTACAAATGCTATGAGCAGAGACTTCTCAGGAAAACGGTGCGGAAGGTGGCTTTAACCTTGTCCCACTTCTCACAGTGCTACAATCCAGTGGGATCTGCATACACACATACCTCAGCTAATTTAAAAAGCAGTAAAAAGATATGGCAAGCACAACTATGTATCTCTAAAGTTTTGCTTAATTAAGTTATAACACAGTCGCACCTAAAACACCTAAGAGTCTCCTTATTAACTTAGTGTATTAAAAATTATTTTAAGATAGCCTTTAAGAATAAAACCCTTTCAAGACAGCACACAAGATTAAAACCATATGGAAAGCTGTGGCAAAATTCATAACTGCACACACATTGAAATCAATAAAAAACAAAAGTTACTAAATAAATCAAGAGAGAAGGTACCCAGAACCAGAGGCCCAAGAAATTATGGAGAGGCCGGCAAAAACCGGAGTCCTGAGTTTTCCTGAAAGACTGTAAAGAAAATACCCGATGGACCTCCGTAAAAGCTGATCCAGAGGTGCAGGCCCATAGCACACAGCCTAAGATACAGCTGACAAGGAATATTAATTGACACTAGTCCAGCATCAGTCAATGTTAAGTAGAATATGGCTACTTCAGGTTCTGAACGGTCACAAAAGTGAAGGGAAGAGTGAAACTAGGATGGCAGGAAAGGTTACCTTATAAATGATGCAGAGGAGACTATAAAGTACATGGAAAAATGTATTACCCACATGAAGTTGATTACTTCCCAGTGTTACTGTCAGCCTAGAAGAATATTTGCCGCCAAACATAATGAGCTCACATACACATTACCGCCTTAAGGTTCGCCAGCTCCCAGAAAGGACCTGTCCAAACTGAAGGCAGTAGTGCTTGTTTGAATTCACCTTAATAAAGCTACACTTGGCAGAAAATGTGTGGCTGTTAAAGCCCCGAATGCATTGGCAGTTTGATTATCCTTCAATTAACAGAGCTTCTGACACACCTCGGAGTCTCCTTTAACTCAGGCATTCGCTGCACCATCCTCTTTCATGCCTTCTGAAAGTTAAATATGCCAACTCTGTAAAGCAAACTGCTAAACGATCCACCAAACGTTAATGGACAGTGGCGTGACAACACCCCATCACCCTTTCTGGACATAAAACACCGCAACGGGTTTAGGAGAAAGTGAGAGATGGAAACAAAAATAAGCAAAAATAAAATTCTCTTCTGTGAGGCTTTACAGTACCTTGATCCGTGGGAAGTGGGGTGCTAAGCTCTGAGCTGGCAGTGTGGGGAGTACCATCCTTTCAACTGATCTAATGGTTCTGCCCCAAGCTGATTGCCGTGCCTTTTATTTCCCAGGTTTCCATCTATTTTGCGAGAGCTGCCACCAGCCCATGACCCCATCTGTTCACAAGCACTCAGTGATGTATTAAATTATGTAACAGATAATCTCTGGCCACGCACGCAGAATTACAGTGGTTTTGGAGTTTAATTTCCAGGTACTCGAAACAAACCACTGGCATTAACTGTATCAAGGCACTTAAACATCTGTGCTCGCCAGCAGTGATGGCCTGTTCTTTGATTGACAACTGTTGTTTAAATCTTTCTGGAAGGTGCACACAATCCTGAGAAGGGCACAGTGGAGCGGCAGAGCAGGCATAAAAGCTGTCAGGTTCAGTCCCCCCGTGTGCCTCGTATCACAGTAGGAAAGAACCCCCTGAGATCTTGGAGAGTTGGTGCCACTCAAGAACACACAGAATCAGGTCCTGGTTCTGTTTACACTCAGAATAAGCAGACCAGGACCCGATTCTGGTGATTCTGGCTCCTAGAAAGCAGCTTGCATGTTTGAAGGGCTGGCAAAAGCTTTACAACCAACAGTAAAATGATCCATGAAAGACACGTTCTCTTTAATGTTTGGCAGGCTTGGAAAAGAAAGGGGAAAAGAATGAGTGAAATGAAAGCCTTTGAAAATGGGAACCCAAGTTATTTGTCATTAGACACATTTAAATCTGCCTTCTATTGGGGTCAGAATGATGGTCCATCCAGAGCAAAACTGTCTGCTTTGAGTAAAGGTCACCCTTCAGATCTCAGAAATGATTCATTCCCACCACCTATTATATTGGTTTCAGTGACACTTTCTAGACAGTCATGATTTGAATTTGCTTACTTCTTTCTGCAACTTGTGATTGGCCTGTTTGGAATCTTCCAGAGAGGCCAACGTCTCTATCTTCTCTTTATGAAGGGCGTCCTTCTCTTTGGTTACTCGCTCAGCTACTTGCAAAGCATCTTCAGCTGTTTGTGTATTCTGCAAGGCAAAAATAGCTGTGTCAAGTCTCATGCAAAGCTGTACTGGATTCCAGCTGAAGGACCCCTCAGCCACAACCTCCATAGTCAAGAGAATCTCTCTTGGGTAAGCAGCGCACAAACGGCTATCAGCCATTTGCAAGCTGCTTCGGTATGTGAAACAAGCATTCCACCTCTCATGGCTTGTGTGCATTCTAAAAATTAATCAAATATAATTAAGTCTATCATCCGTCTTCTTTCATGCAGAAACTATACTACGTACAGTCCCATGCTAGTGTCATTCTTGAGGTGAGATAGACGGCCCTAACGAAATCATTCTTTTGGATTATTTTTTTTTCCACATTAAAAAATATAGTTCCAGAGATATTCACTACCAACAGACTTGTCATTTCTGCTCTGTTTTGGGGTGAGAATACTGAGAAGGCATGGCAAGGACAGACAACAATTAAATGAAAATTGATAAGGACAAAGATATGGTGGGAATCTTTTACTATTGTGAAGCCAATCCTTTTGGGGAGCAAAATCAAAGCTTCAGGCTCTGGCAAGACGATATAAAAGAGAGCTTGGAAGGAAAGCTTTGCGATTTATGAAGCGGGGGGGGGGCACAGAATGCCAATCGGTCTCCTGTTGGTGGTGAATGTGGATCCCACTGTGAATAAAAAGATAACAGACATTGCCAAATCCTTCGCAACATTAACTTCACAACCAATTCTGCTTAGAAATTGCCCTGCTGGCTTTTGCCCAATTACTGCAAGGCTTAGGAGGAGGTTGAACAATTAACTTTTGGAAGCCAATTTCAATGTATAATTTAAACATGTTCAACATGAGGACACGCATGTGCCGCATACTGCAGGGCGGGCAGCACGTACAGATCTGGAAACCTGCTTTTTTTATTCACAACTGAAACACCGACTTGCAACATTCAGTAGTTGTGAGGACTGTACAGCTAAATGTGACCTTCCTCCCACCCCACCACAATATTAAAGCAGTTAAGAGATTTTTCAAAAAACGTAATTGAGAAAACTTGCTGCCAGCAAGATAATTAAGGAGGGTGTTCAGACTGAGCCAGGTGCTGGATCGTGCAAAATTAAGTGCAGACACTGAAACAATTTATATTAGTATTGGTGTTAGTAACGGTACTTGACTGATTTTATCAGCATTTGGATACCTCAAATCTCTGAATTACCGCATGTACCTGAAGAGTCTCAAGTGCTCTCAGTTTCAAAACAAGCTCATCCTTTTCCTTCTGCAGCATCACGTTTTTGCTTTGAGATGCCAAAAGGCTGGCTGTCACCTCGCTGTTGGCCTGGGCGAGAAGCGTTACCTCCTCATGCAGCTTATAGTAGTCTTGAGAGAACTGCTCTTTCTCTTTCAAGATTTCTTCCTTAATTGTGGTAAGATGCTTCTGTTCGGAAAGCAGAATCGCATTCTCCTGAAGCAACTTACCCCGCTCCAGTTCAGAAATGTCGTAGCTGGAACGGAGATCTTCCAGAATCTTAGAGACACAACTATGTAGTTCTTGGAGTTCTGCTTTTGACTTGGTCAACGCTACAAACTCACTTTTTAACTTTTCAATATTGGACGCAAGTTGGTCTGTCTCAACCCTGAGCATCTCCTTTTCCTTCATAATTTCCTCTAGTTTCGATTCAGATTTTAATTTCTCCTGGTTCAATAAATCCCTTTCAGTCAGCAGCTCTTTGTTTTTTAAGGTCAGCTGTTCTCTCTCCCTCTCTAACTGGATGACACTGCTCTGAATCTGCATGTTCTCTATGGCAAAAGACTCCTTATCCAGCTTCCTCTCCTCCTGTTGTATGGCCAGGTTCTCGTGGATTGTTCTAAGCTCCTTGCTCAGTCTCTGGCACTCTTCTTGCAGCTGAGATCTCTCTTTGCATATGATCTCCTTCTCAGCCGAACTGCTCTTTAACGATGCTGCCAGTAGCTGCTTGGCATGAAGCAAGGCAGAATACTCGTTCTCCAGCGCTGTTTTGGCACTCTGGGTCTCCTTCAAGATTTTGGTCAGTTCACATCTGTAGCCAGTGAGCTCCTGGTTTTCTTCCACCTTTTGGTCAAGTTCTCGCTTCAGTGTTTCAACAGAGCCCTGGAGCCTGGCTTTGTCCTGCGTCAGCATCCTCTTTGCCGAAATGTCCAGTTCGTGCTTCCTCTTCAAATCGCACAGGGCTTTCGTGGCCGACTGCTTTTCGGCAAGGAGCTCAGCGCATTTCCCTTCCAGAGTGGCCTTTTCCTTTGCAAGGTTTTCGTTCTGCTTCTTGAGCTTTGAGGACTTCTGAGAGGCCAGCTCCTTCTCTGCACTCACCTGACTCAGCCTCTCGTTCAGTGTTCTCTCGGTAAGGGCGGCTTCTTCAGAGACCTTCGCCAGCTTTTCCACAATTGCCTTGTTTTCATTCAGAAGTTCCTCTCGTTCCTCAGAGAGCTTCTTCTCAGATGAAGACAAAGCTTCTTTCTCCTGCAGTAACTGAATGCATTCTGAGTCTGTTGATGCCCTACTGGCCTTAAACTCTTCCAAGAGCTTTGAAAGGCTGGCATGTGCAGCCTGCAATTGCACATGGTCTTTGGTGGCCTTTTTAAGCTCTTTCTGGGATGCTTCTAGGTCAGCTTGCAGGCTGTCTGTTTTCTCGCCAAGCTTCTGCTTCTCGTCCAGTGCCAGCTCCAAGCCCTTCCGCAGTTCCTCCTGGCTTTTCAAGAGAGCCTCTTTGTCTGTCTGCAGTTCTTGGTTGGTCTGCCAGAGAGTATCTCTTTCCTTTTTCAAAGCCACATGCTGGTTCTCAAGATCCAAGAGCTTGCCCTCAAGCGAGTCCCTCTCAGCAGCCAGGGTAGTAACTTCCTGGAGGAGCTCTTTCTGGTCCCTGGCCATGTCTTCGTAAGAGTTTTTCAGCTTCTGAATGACATCATCCTTATCTTTGAGAAGAGCAGCATTTTCCTCTGAAAGCTTTCTCTGACGGTCCTCTAGCGCGTCGCTTTGGCTGATGCGCTTTTCACATTCTTTGGTCAAGGCATCATTACGGGTCTGGAGCTCATCCACCTTGCTGAGGAGAGCTGCTTTTGAATTGCGCAGAACATAATTCTCTCTGGTTATCTTAAGAAGATCATCTTGGGCAGCTTCTATTTCCAAGAGTAACTTTCCTTTCTCAGAAATTAACTCATCATTTTTAGCTTTTTCCTGCTCAATTTTATTTTCAGCATCTTGTTTGTCCTTGACCATTTTTTTGTTCTCCAGATTAAGCTCTTCATTCACTGTCCAAAGTTTTTCCTGATCTTGCTTTAACAATCCAGTTTTGGATTCCAACTCTACAAGTTTTGTTAACAAGGAACCTTTTTCTAACTTTAAAGCATTTCCCTCCTGCGCCAACGTTTCTTTCTCTGATATCAAAGCCCTCATCTCGTCTGACATTAGTTCAATCTCTTTTCTGGCTGTTGCTAACATAGAGGTTAAGGACTAAAGAAACAAAGATCAGGGAGAAGAGGAAACAAAAAACAAAATAATGAAGTCAAGCAGGCTTATGCCAAGTGTGGATTAAAGACAAGTAGTGTTACTATTTTTTAAAAAATGTGTATATACTGACACACAGAGCCCTGCTGAAGAATTTGCATGTCTTTGAAGCCTGGCGGTGGATATGTGCATCCACACTGCCGCACGGGGAGGGCTGAGGCAGGGGGGCCTTGAGTGGGTACCCATCCCGCTGCCCCCTTACACACTCAGCTCTATGCGCTTCGGCAAAGGGTATGCATTTGGCTGGGCTGTCAGAAATAGCACTTGCCTCTTTCCACAAGAGATGAGGAGTTCAAAGCAACTCCCGCCAGGCTCAAATTTCCTCCCAACGCAGTTCTTGCGCCACCCTTTGTGAAAATGTAGGTGTCTACAGGGGGGATGGATGGAACAAACATGCTGCAGCAGTGGGAACATTTAGAAGAAGATGAGAAACTCTAGCCTGAATGTGCTGATGGGCTCAAATGCCTAGTTCCCAACCTGACCAGAAGCAAAATCTTCTTTTAAGGAGCCTACCTTTGCAGGCTCTGTCTGCCTACAGCACGAGCCTTCCAGAATGAAACAGACGGCTGCCATGTTCCGAATTAATCAAGGAGGCTTCGAGGATTACACCTCGGTGAATACGCATTTTTCACTGGTTTCATGTCAAAGGCTCCCACTAAGTCAGTGGAACTACTGCTGACCTGTTCCATAAGAAGAAGGCCTGACCGTTAGCCTTCCCAAGCCTTAACACAATCCCTATGGTCAGGAAAGAGTTCTGCATCTTTTTTCACCAATCTATGCTTGACTGTATTTAGCGCAAATCAAAGGACAAAAGGCTACTCAGAGATGCTAACGTGCCACAGTGGCGACGCTGGTGAAATACTGAGGTGGGAAACGCACAGCATTGCAGAATGCGGCCAATATCACCAGTGATGGTGCACTTTCATTCCATGGGATATAGTAACTTACAGATTCTTTCGAGGTGATCTTTTATGCAGAGGACATTTCACTCACACTTTATTTTGCTAAGAAAACCAAATCATCCTGAACTTGGAGTTCAGCTTGCAGCCATTTGGCCTGTGTGTCAATGTATCCACTGAATATTCTGCTATAGAAGTAACAAAACATAAAGCTCAAAGCACATAGGCAATGAATAGGAGATGAACATAGGGAACGATGCTGAGGCAATGCTGAAAATAAATAAAACGGAAGCTATTCAAGTCAAGCTAAGGGCCATATGGAACATGGACAGCTTCTACAGGAAACTAAGCAATAAAAATGCTGGTAGAATCCAGGACCTCTAAGCTTACTTTAATTTTTAAAATGGAGTAAGACCCCTTTAAGCATCCCGAGAAAATAATAAATGGCTTCAAATGTCAACAAGCTACAGAAGGCGGGATCAGAAATCAAAGGACTAGGAAGGATCTGCAAAAATATTTAACAGGAAGAATTGCATTTAGAACTGTTCTCCAGAAATGCTAGTTTATAAATATAATTTTCAAAGCCACAACACTGGGCCCCTGAACATTTCCCTCAGCAGTCTTTCCTGTTCAGTCTTCTTAGTTCATAAAATTATTCCACTAATGAAGTTATATGCTTTCTTTCTCACATCTTAAATCCTGTCCCCAAACCAGAGTATGAAACAAACAACTGCAAACTGTATGTTGCAATTGTATTATATACACATGTTGAAAAAAACAGCCTAACATTCAGGCAAAAGGAACAATTCTGGATATAGATAAATTAACAGGCGCTGGACAAAATTCTGATTTCCACATTCCTCTTTCTTCTAAACAGCGCTGACATCAATAAGCTGCCCAGGGATGCCTGTTTCACTTTGGGCTTTTGAATCCAGAATTAAATCAGAGGAGGAACTAATGGTAGGCAGGCCTTCCTCACGTGCCAGAGGCCGGAGAAATCTGTGCCTATTCCACACCAGCCCAGTGGAGCCAAGATGGATCTTGACTTGAACGTTCCCTAAGTCCCTGCAGTAGATTAGGAGTGAGCATTCCCATCAGCAAAGAAAAATCTGTGTTTTGGCTCCCTGCTTCATGGGGATACATACCTTTGCATGCTCTGCTTCCTTTTTCAACTCCTTGACCTGCTTTTCCAACTCGCCATTTGCCTTTTGTGCATTGGTTAAGAGCTGTGCTGTTTCCTGGAGTTTTTGCTTCAGTTCCTTGATGGCCCCATCGTGCCTGGCAGCTGCCTCAGACTGTGCTTTCTCATGTGCCGCCTGCAGGTCTTTGCACTGATTCTGGCTAGCTGCAACTTTCTTCTCCTGGGAAAACAGAGAGGCTAATTGAGCACAGCATCCTGATCCCTTTCCATACAACTAGCCCCAGTTATTACACAATTTTTGGGTCATCTCTCTTTTCTTGAATTAGAGTTGAAAGAGAAGTGACTTATACAGTACAACAGTAACTAGGGAGTTTGCTAAGAGATGGGACTCAGAATCAGAGGTAAAATAGCACTCTTGCAGTAATTTCTCCTGGCAACTATTTCAGCTATATGAAAGGTCATCAGATTTGATTTCCATCCAGCAATAGCACCTAAGCAGGCCTTCTTGGTAGTGGCACTGATCCTCCAGAAAGTTCTCCCACATGGGGGTCAAGAGACAGAAACAAGCACAAGTTTTAAAAGCCCCCTGAAAATGTCTGTTCACCCAAGCCTATCCTAACTTGTAATTTCACTGCTCTGTCCCACGATTCTTGTCACTCCTTTAATTATTTATTTTAAAATAATAAAAATATTTTATGCTTTATACTCTAGGATATGTATGTTTATGTGAATCACTTAGAGATCGGAGGATTTGAAAGGATATGTAAGTAATTCAAATAAATAATTTGGTATATTAAAATTAGAACATACCTCAACCTTCTTTTCTATTTCTATTATACACTCCATTTATATTTCAATTTTTCTGTGACAGCACATTTGCTACTATTCTCAGCATTTCTGCTTTATTCATGACGACAAAGCAAGAATGCCTGTGTGCCGGCCCACGCCGGCTTGGTTTCCCCATGGAAATTTCTCCACACAGTCAGGTAGCTATCCGCATAGAGGGTCTTACCAGATCCTCTAACTTGTCCTGCATTTTCTGCAGTTCAGCCTCATGCTTTTTGTGCGTTTCCTGCTGATCTTTTTCAGCTTTGCATGTCATCTGCTCCACATTTTCCTGAAGCTGAGTAGCTCTCTCTTTTGCTTTTGTGAGCTGAAGCTGGAGTTCGTCTACTTGCCTGAAATCAATCATAAGAAAAGTTCAGAATTCTAACACTTGCCATCTGGGTTTCAGAACAACTGTTCATTTCATTTATTGGATTGATATGCTGCCACTGAGAGCAGCTACTGAAATGAATTCTATGTCAGCCTCCCCTTGTGACTGTTTTGGAAGCTGAGCCTAGTGCAGACGGAGGCAGGCAGGGTTCTCAGTGGGGTGCCCAGTGTAACCACACTGGCTGCCTCCGACTAAGGCGGTTTTCAGGGTGAAAAGCCTGAAAGAGAACGATGGGGAGGCGCAGAAGTTCACCACCTGCAGCTCACTCAGCTAGTGACCTGCTGAAAGGACAGAGGAGGAAACATTTCCTAATAATTTACTTATTTCAGTGGGGCTTCTCCCTCCCAGTCCAACTCTTCCACCCTCCATGTTTCGAGAGAGCGCAACAACTCTTTAGGTCCTGGACTGAAGAAAGGCAAGTGTAACATTATAAGAAAAGCCTTCTTGGATCAGGCCAAAGGCCTACCTGGCCAAATGCCTGGTTTCCTACACTGGCCAGCCAGATATCCAGATACAGAGGAAGCGACTCAGTCCTCATGTCCACACACGAGGCACCTATTTTACTAAGAGGGGAAGTTCAGTACACGCCTTTCCAGTTGCAGCAGCTCTCTAGGTCTCAGTTAGGAGGTCCTTCCCACCTGAGTGCCTGAACTTCCTTTTAACTCTTCCCCTGAGCTGTGTGTACCAGGATTCCTGGTTCAATTGTTCCCACGTGGGGCTGTCAAACCCAGGAGTCTGGACGAGCACATACCCAACACATAAGGACAAGCCCCCCTGAGCTTCCTGCCTAACCAGTGTGGTGTAGTGGTTAGAGCACAGGACTGGGACTCAGACAATCTGGGTTTGAGTCCCTGCTCGGCCATGGAGCCCACTGGGTGACTTTGGGCCAGGCACAGACTCTCAGCCCAACCTACCTCACAGGGCTGTTGTTGTGGGGATAAGATGGAGGAGGAGAATGATGTAAGCTGCCTTGAGCCCTTTGAGGGAAAAAGGCAGGATATAAATCGCAATATAAGTAAATAAATAAACAAACAAATCCTGTCCCAAGGTTTGCTTGGCTTCCTTGCTGAACATACATGTGATATTTTCCCTTTGGGTTTCCCAGCCCACACTCTCTGGGCTAAAGTCAACAACACACACATGGGCAAGGAACAGAGTGAGAGCAAAAACATAAGCAGCTTTGGATGGAATGAACTTAATGAACGTAACGATCTGGAGGAATTCCAAGTTATTTCCACAGAGCAAGGGTAGCAGAAAACGTCACGAAGATATTCCATATGAGAGAGAAATTACTTTTCCTTCAGCCGTAGATCATCATTCATCTTTGTAAGCTGTGAAGAACTGTCTCCCGAGGATTTCATTATTTCAGTTATGTCATTTTCAAGTTTGACTTTAGCCTCGATAAGCTGCTGTTCTCTCTCCTCTCTTTCTTTCAATTTCTTTTCCATGACTGAAAAAGGAAGTAAAAGGATAAACAGAACAAATGAAATGCTGTATTCAAAACACTGAACCATATGCCCCAGAAAGCATATTTTACAAGATACAGAAAGTATAAACCACCAAGTATAGTACGGATATTTTCCTTTGAAACAAACGTGTGTGCATGAATTTGCTCTCAAAGGAAGGAGTTGCATGCAGAGATTTAAATTCAGAATTGTGGGTTATTATGCAGAGGACACAAGGTAACAACAACCCATAGTTAGCTCGCTGCGGCCACAACGGGGCAAGTACACAAGCTGCTTCCTATGGACTCACTTCTTCCACTTCGCGAAGCATGGCTATTAGCTGCCTTAAAATTTGGCTATCCTGCCACAGTGAAAGGGGGTTTGTAGCACGCAGCCCCTGAGAGTAGCTAGGAGGAACTGACCCATCATGGAATCCATTTTCACAGGGAGAGAAAGAACAAGTTCAGTCCAGAGGCCTGGCTAAGCAAGGTGATTGGTCAGGAGATGCAAGGATGCAGAGCAGGGATCAGATCTTCCCAAAGGGTGATCCAGATATGGAAAGGGGGCAAATCTATTTCCTGCAAGGAGGCCAACCTCAAGATCTATTTGTCCCTTTCAAAGTTTATGTGGCAAGTTGAAGAAGCCAGACGCTATCTGCACGGTGGTGGCTTTTCTTCCTGCTGTTCTTAGAATTACATAGCAGCCTGCATTTATTAATTGTCACATTTATTTCCAGCCTTCTGCCAGGCACCCAAGATGGCTTACAAGCTTCTCTTCCTCTCCACTTTAACCTCACAAGAACCCTGTGAGGTAAATTCGGTCGAGAGTCAGTGACTGCCCAAAGTCACCCTGTCAGCTTTACAGCAGAAAAGGGACCAGTACTCAGACCTCTCGAGTCCCAGTCCAACCATCCAACCACCATATGGTACTGGCTCTCTTTCCTTTCCTCATTTTAACTTTTCATCCTGTTCATCGCCTCTGGTGCACCTCCGATGCAGAAAGGCAGGACAGAAATACCAAGAAGAATCCATATCATGCTTGCATTTTCTGCAGAGTTTACAAATAAACCACTTTATTTATGCAATAAATGTTAACCTCTTGACAACAGTAGAAATGCAGGCAGATGAGGACGCCCACCAGGCCAGCATCCAGCCCCTGAGAGGATGGAGCAAGTGCGAGCCCCTCTCCTGCCAGGGTGACGATGCCCCTGCTGTACCCATTCTGGCTCGACTGAGTGACGGTGACAGGAAAGGAACCCCCTGTCCACACAGCATGCGTGTATCATCGGCACGGTGAAGCTGGCCGGCACAGCAAAGTTCCCAGGCTGAGCTCTACCTGGCACTGCTGCCAGGAGGCAGCGCACGTGCAGACAGAGGCAGCGAGGGCAGCCCTGGGATGGCCACAAGCAAAGCCTCGGGCTTGCATGCAGACGCTGCGTATTGCCGCCTGGTTAACGATTCTGGCACTGTTCGCATCGTATGCACATCACGGACGGGGCAGCGTTGTGACCATGGCGGTGTCTTTGCAGACTAGGAACTCTTCTTGGAGCACTGGCCTGCCAAAGAGGCGGCAAGCGGGGAAGTTGAGATGGAAGGAGGAGGTGGAAAGGAGGTGGGCATGTCATGAGCGGAGCCGGCTGGAGCCGGGGGTCAGACTAGATGGCCCGGGAGACCCCTTCTGACTCGCGCAGTTTCTGTGTGTCTATGAGAGCAGGTCAGTGGCGGGGAGACCTTGCTTATGGCGGTGTGGAAACCTGACTGTGCGGCAGGGCAGTGTCCCCCACATCTCCCCACGCCTCCAGTCTGGAGCTAGGCCTGCATGCATTATGCAAACAAAGTCTGCTGTTCAACCAAGCCTTTCCCCCTTACCTGTCAGGTGAGAGCGTAGCTGGTCCAGTTCAGAGGACATGTGTGCAAATTGCTGTTCTTTTTGGTTTAGTTTTTCAACAGTTTCTGATGGAATAAAAGGCAGCATTCGTCAGCTGTCAGTCAGCTTTATAAAAAGGCTTCGTCATAGTCAGGAAAGCATTTCTGATCAAAGAAAGGTATTCTCGCCCTCTCCCCTAAACCCCATTGTAAAAAACAATATCAAAATTACCTTTTTAGAAAGCCTACCTTGCATAGATTTTTGTACACTTTCTGCCTCATCAGCAGCCTTAGAAAATTTTCCTTTCTAGAAAAAGTGGGGCAGGGGTAGGGAAGAAAGCACATTTACCCATTTGGCTTTAATATATTAGGATAATATAGACCACACTGAAAAGCAACATTAATAAATGTTTAGCTCTAGCCAGCTCACACCAGGTAGAAAGAATTGACAACTTTTTAATTGAGAAGGAAAAGCTAATGATTTAGTCAATTTTTCTGAAAAAACAAGTCAACCTTGGGCAAATAAGGCTGACTAGATACACAACTTGTGACAGATTTCCCTTCTAAAACACCCAAAGCAAAGCTCAAATATACAACCATGATTTCCTTCAATGGCTACTCACCAAATCTTCAAGCTCTTTTCCCAAAGCATCTTTAAGTTGATTTACAGCACCCAAGTGACTTTCAAGATCAAGGAGCTTTTTCTCTTTCACTTGTAGTTCTTTGACTAGACTTATAGCCTAGCAAAGAGGATCATGTAGCATAAAAATGAAAAATTATGAAAGGAAAAAAAATAAAGGACTTTGTTGAACTGGCAAATAAAATAGATGTTAAAACAGACCATGAAAACAAGAAAAATACATGAACATAAACTGAAGGGGAAATCATGTGTCAAATAAACCAGAATCATGCTCAGAAACTTCAGTTATGGCATCATATGTGCGAGATTATTCAATCTTTTGATCATCTTTGTTTTAGGTCCAAATTCTAAATCCTTTTTCTAGGAAGCAAGTCTGACTAAAAATCGAAAAGCATTAGTTCACAGTTGCACAGATAATTCTTTTGGTCACACTGAGAGCAGTATTTGGCACATTACAGAAAACATTCATATGACTGAAATTACAGGCAACTGTTCAGATCAAAAACTGCCTGTTAACAATAACTATTTTACTGACCAACTCACAGGAAACCTTAAATTCCATGGGACTTAAAAACAACCAATGCCTAGAAGCAACCATGTGAAATCCAGGCTCTAAGACTTCAGACGACAAGGCATCGTAACAACAGGCATCAAAAGCAGTATTTCTTCTGTACCACAAGCTGTGGCCAGGGAAAGACCACACAATCGGCTTCCTGGAGGAGGTTCACTGGAAGCCCCACATAAGACGAAGTAACCTATTTACACTTATTTCCTTCCATAATTCAAGAAGCAGCAGGGCAGTCATGTGCTCACAGATATGCAAGGCCTCCCCAGTATGAAGGGCCAGAAGCAGCATGGCAGCGTGATCCCCAGCCCTTCAGAAGCTTTCTTCAAGCTAAGATGACATTACAAGCAGGCCCTCTCTGTCTCAGCAAAGGCCTGGACTCTACTGTTCAAATAGCTGATTTTTGGAAATATTTATTTATTTATTTGAAATTTTTGTATGCCGTCCCATTCGCATAAGCCTCGGGACGGCTTCCAACATCATAAATAAAACAATCGGATAAGTACATATAAAATCTGGATTCATCCTAGCTACAAATTTAAAACCAATAAATAATATTAACAATTATTAAAATATCGTTTAAATAAAAAGGCCTTGGCCTGGCGCCGAAAAACAAATAACGAAGGCGCCAGGTGGACCTCTCTGGGGAGCACATCCCGTAAGTGGGGCGCCACCGCAGAGAAGGCCCTCCTCCAGGTACTCACCCTCCTAATATCTTTCCTAATGTTAATATCTGAAGTGTGCAAGATTCTGCCAACAAAGTCAGTGCATATCCTGAATAGCTCTCCAGGTAAGTATCTAAGAGCAGCTCTCCAGCATTCTGTCTCCCACAATGTCCGACTGATATAGAAATCCCCAGACTGGCGACTTTGCTGCCTTAGCCTCCAGAACTGTGTCTAACTTTCATTTAAACCACTGAGGTTGGTGGTTACTATCACACCTTGCAAAAGCAGATTCCATAGTTTTAACTACTGTGTTACGTGAAGATGTATAATCTTTTGGCCATGTATAGATGCAGTATACATTTTGTGTCTAAATGTTTAAAATACCATCAGATGATGCCAAGTGACTACTTCATAACACTTTCTATGTAAAGGAAAAGCAGAGTGCTTCCAAACGGCACAAATTAAAAGTTTAAAAATGGAAAAAGCAAATAAAGGATGGATGCTGATACAAACCTGGATACTTTCATTATTTTTGTCATTCTCTAAACTCTGTATGGTTTTTTCAGCTGCCTCGAGCTCCTTGCCAAGTTTCTCCAACTGCAGTTTACCTTCAGAGCTGGCCAGCTGAAGGGCATCAAGTTCCAAGAGCTTTGCTTCAGTGGCTTTGATCTTTGCTTTAAAACTATCAATCTCCTTGGCTTGTTCCTGGCACTTGGCTTGCAGCCCCTCCAGCTCTTTTACCTTGTTCTCCGCCTCCTGCAACTTGTTGAGCGTGTCTTCCAATTCCACCAGATGCTGACCTTCAGCACTTTCCAATCTGGTCCTGAAGGCCTCCAAGCTCTTCTCCTTCTCCTCTGTGACTTCCAGCAGCTTTTCTTTCAAGGCTTCAACCTCCTTCATGAGCAATGATCTCTCCTTTTCTTGCTTTAGCTTCAGATCGGATGTTTCGCTCTGATGCTCCTCTCTCATCTTCTCAACCTGGATCTTGAGTTCCGCAAATTCAGCCGTCTGCTCCCCAATGCCTTTGCTGAAGGAATTCTTCAGTTCTTCCACCGCTTGATGATGAGAAGCAGTGGCAGACTCCAGCTTGGATTTCCACATCTCAGTCACCTTCAAATTCTCCTCATGGACACTATCTAGTTTTGCTTTCAGGGACTCGTTGTCTTTTGTCAGTTTTTCATTGGAGGCCAGCAAGGTTTTTATTTCCTTCTGGAAAGATTCCTCACTGATTCCAAGCTTCTCTCTCAGTGACTTCAACTCATCCTGGTGCTCCTTGTCCAGGGACGCCATCTTCTCCTGCAGAGTGCTGATTTCTTGCAACAACGACAACGATGTGTCCACGCTGCTGACTGGCTTACTGGACTCTAGCCTGGCTCGTAGCTCAGTTACTTCCTTTGCCCGCAGTACCAAATCTCTTTCCAGTTCCATAATCCGAGATTTTTCAGACACAGTGGCCACCTATGATCCATAGCATTTTTTTAAAAAGAGGGAGAAATAGTTATAACAAGTTGAACTTAAAAGCACAGTGGGACATACTGATCACCTCAGGGGAGCAAAATACAGCTTCTCTACTGCTTCTAAGGCAGGATTCTAGAAAATGAAATAAATACTGGTAATTCTAAATTTCTAGTTCTGATGATATTGCTAATGGAATCCTACAAATACTCAATTTAAAGCTATTGAAGGTGCACTTGTAACAGCTTAATAACATACAGTTAACTAAACCAAAGGTATTTGTCCCTGCAAACAGTCCTCATGTGTATTCCAAATTAAGTTTTTGCTCCAGCTGAAGTATCAGTAATTGGACTGAAGTTAGTGCTAAGACAGACAGTCTGTTAAGTTAAAAGCTTAAAACCAGCGCTTGCAAATGTTATTAGAGTTTAGCAGAACACCTCTAAGAATCCTTTCTTAAAAATGAAACGGCTGTGAGGGAATGCTGGCACAACATTCTAGATCTCATGGGACTTGGAGCACAGAAAGCTAAGAGAGCAGTGCTACATTCCCACTGAAGAACTCCACTATTAAAGCACTTTTCTTTCCTATGCCTTACTGGTGGGCGCTGACAGGAGGAGGCCGTGTGGCAGAATGGCATGGCTTTCAGTGTGTTTGCCCCATCTGCAGATGGGGGAAAAGTCCTTCCCATTACTGGCAAGGGGACTGAAAGGCCTTCCAAGGGGCTATTTGAGCCACAGCCCCTTCCTCTCTGCCAGCAGCACCCCCCTCCCCACCACAGACACACTTGTCTCACCCCCCACAAGGCCAGGACTCAGCTGCCGAGATGTTTTGTTGAGATTGTAAATATACCTAAAACATCTCTTGTGTAAACGTTAGGTACAGAGTAACTCTCCTAGAGAAGATTTATGAGGTCCTTATACTGATTATGCTCAGCGAAAGAAATAGACATTTCCTGAATTTTATTCCATTGTGAGATTCAGAGAAGAGTCGGTATGCGAACAAGCAAGGGAGTGAATAAAAGAGAAATACCACCAGAAGGAAGATTCAGTCAGGCAGAACCCATTGCCTTTATAAGAACGTTCAGGAGAACTGGCATCGTGCCTGCAGACGATTTACCCAGAAGAGCCAAGCGACTAAACTGTTTTCTTCAGATAAATAAATCATAGCAGGCACCTGCTCAATGCAAAATCAGAACACTGACAATTTGTCGTGACTCTGTCATTATAGATCAGCAACAAGATTTGGGAGTTGGCTTCAAGACATGTTGCGAAGACTTGAAAACTTTAGCTCATTTCACTTGTGAAGAAGCAAAATCTATGACTTTGCAGACCACATGTTCCCTTCGCTCTCATAAACCAAGGTTGAAAACATCCGTAAAAAGCACTACTATACACAGGAGTTATACATACACAGTATCTGCAGCTACTCCTCTAAGTTCTCATAAAATCCTGGGAAGAGCAGACAGGTGAGAGTGTTCCGCCCACATCCAGTCCCTTGAGCCAAACTGTGTAACTGCATCCACACACAAGCTCCCTCCAAGTATTTTTTGTCCCCTCCAGGAATGTAAACAAGCAACATGTCCCAGTTCTTGGACACAGCTATTTTTCTGCTTGGGAGGGAAGGCAACCTATAATTAAGAGTGTCATATACTTGCACAAGAAATCTGCACGTACAGTTTGAAGCAGAATCCGAAATTTGATATGCCTGATATTAAGACCCAAGACTTGATCATTAGGAATGAAACAACCAATCCACACACATTCAAAATCAAGCTTGAACCATCTCCAGGCAAACAAAAGACTGGATTATGTCTCCTAAAGAGAACAAAAGAATTGTGTGGCTGGCAGGAAGAGACTCCAGACTTTTCCACATCCAGAAAAGATGCCTAGATGTCTCAAGGGGTCGAGATTCAGCTGAGGCATCGAACAGCCAAGGACTGCTCTTTAGGTCCATGGTACTGACATCAGGTACAAGGTCCCTCTTTTTTGGAAAGGCCTTCAGTGGCACCCTTGCTAGAAACACTCTGGTCCTGGACTGATAATGCTGCCCAGGAAGGCTTGCATGAAAGATTGTGTGTTTCTATAGAAGACTCACCAGTGACCAAAAAGATACTGTTCTGATCAAACAGGATTAAGTGCAGGAAGATCCCAGTTGACCAGAAACACCAAAATAAATCACATGATGTGCTACATTATCCTTAGCTGACAGGCAATTTCACCTGCTGAAGGCGGCTATGTGCAATTTTAGGACCTCGGCCACGGCGGGTACGTTTTCCATTTACTACGCTCCACCTTTGGAGGGAAAGTATCTTACCTGAATATCACTGTAATAACTATTAAAAACACTGCACTGGCAAAGGGAGAAAGAGTTCTTTCCGGTTTTCCCGAGACACCAGGCCCACTCTGCTCCAGCATCAGGCTCCTGCCCCATCACACACAAAGGTCTTGTTCATTTAAATAGTGAAGTCCATTACCCTAGTGTCTTCTAACTCCCTCTGGAGTTTGTCAGCTTTGGTCTTTTCAAAGAGCAGGCTCTGTTCAAGCTCCTTAATGCGGGCATGCTCCAGTTTGGTCTGCGTCTGTTAGTAAAAAGGGAAAGGAAGAGAACACAACAGTGCCACCATCACATGCCAGCACAAGAGGAAGGAGGAGCCACATGCAGGATGGGCCACCGGCTGTCTTCTGCCAGTGATGAGCAGCGAAAGATCCAGGTGGGTAACAAAACAGAAAGGGTCCAATGAGCGGGGAGATGCCACAGATGAGAGACTGACTTGAAAGTGTAACACATGGCTGGTATGTTGAAAGAAAAGATGTGCACACACAGAAAGAGACAAGGGAGCACGGGCGAAAAGAAAGGGGCAAAGTAAATTCATGCAGCCAAAGTTATTCATCAGTGTGACAATTATCAGCACAAATTAGAATAGTTAATGTGTCACAAAACATTATTCTGATCCCTAGAGTGCCATTGCAAAGAAGAGGGCAAAGAGGGCAGGCCGGGATCTCAGCGGCTACCCGGAGGGTGGCTATCATCTGAACATGGCAAGAAACCTCTTGACAGTAAGACAGTAAGAGGGGTTTGGCTTTCCAGCCTACTGAGCTGGTGGACTCCCTTTGATCAGAGCCCTTCAAACAGAAACATAGGGATGCTTCAGTCCTGAATATTCTGCAGGGATTGGATCAGCTCCGGCTCGATGGCCCTGTCCTTTATCCCTCTGCAGTGAATACCAAATGCCTGCACGTGTATAAATACATGACTCCCGGTTTTTTTTAATTTTTGGTGAAATATTGGCTTGCTTTTTAAAGGCTGGTAAAGCAAAACACCCAGTCCCAGGGCCTGCTTACATCCAACTTGCTGGCCTTGAATGCATCCCTAAAAGCGTATGAGCTTTTTCCTCTGGATCTTGCAGTGCTTACTAGCTTCTAGTAATACATCTAGAATAGTCAAGAGTTGCATAGTCTCAAAACACAGGAGTGTGTGCTAAATGAAGCAATTTCCTCTAAGGAAAGCAAACAGAAAACCCAAAAATAACAGATCCTCAATGGAATCCTTCCAAAGAAGTAGCTGGGCTTTCCTGGAGACAACTTATCAGCGAATTTCTGCAGGAAAATCATCAAAACAAACTGCTACAAATAGTTCAGAGGGGGAGCAAAAGGAAAGTCCCCACCGCAGGTAGCTGAAACCTGAAATAAGAGGATATGAGAATAATGTCAGGTTGAGAGACACAAGACCTTCAGTATATACTAGGGAGACAGGCTTCCAAAATCTGATCATAAACAAGTTTTATAAATTATATAATATTTGAAAACCAGCTTATAAGAATGCAAGGAGTCTCATAACGAGTTCCCTCGTCAGTCACAGGGTTCCCTGGAGGACCTTGTAGAAAAAAGCAAGAAAGAGGGCCCTGCGGGAGCTTCTGGGTCTTGCTGCTGCGGCTCTTCCTCGCTTTGACTTGTCCACCTGCCATCTCTGAATGGAGACTAAGGAGAAGAAGCAGTAAGTTCTGCTTAGATGTGCTGCAGACTAAGACCAAAAGAGGGGCAAGTGAAAGAATGATTGCACCAGTGCTAAGAAGAGAGGGCAGGCAAACTCAGAGCCTCATATCCCAGGGCATCCCGAATCCTGGATCTCTTTGACTTTTTTGTTGTAGCTAAGCCAGATTCTGGAACTGTATAACTCAAAATATGGGTTGAGAGGTATCGTTATTAATTTCATTCCATTAGAAACTACTTTTCTACATGCATGCAATCAAGGCAGTATGCAACTAATCTCAAAGACAGAAATCCTTAAAGGAAATTCTTTAGAACAACCTTATAATCAGTGATGCTAAAAGGGGGGGGGGGGGCTGCAGAGCAAGAAAAGCAAGAGTTTCGCTTTTAAAAGCCAAACTTCTGCTTAAATAGAATCATCTCACCAGCTCATCTAAAGGAGTGGGCCGAAGGGTCTTGCCAGAGAGAGAGAGTTCAACAATCGTGGGGTCACCACTGAAAATTTGTGGGGTCACCTGAACCTGAAAACTGCTAAGCATAAAGCCAGGGGTGATGAGCTCAAGGACAAGGCTTTGGAAGTTGACCAAGGGGTTCACCTGAACCCATGTGAGCAAAATACATTCTGGGTAACCTGATCCTAGACTGCTGAGGGCTTCAAAGTGCAAGTATCAGAAGGGAATGCCTGCTGGTGATAAGCAATCTTCCCGATCCCCTGAAGGACTACCGTTGGGCTGGAAGCAATTTATTATAGGAGGTGCTGGCTCTAGTGTGCCAGAGCAAGGAAGGCACGATGAATGGCATTCAAAGACACATTTCTCTGATCTGCATCCGCTACTATAAGTGACAAATGATTGATGAAAAGAACAACCTGGGGTTGTTTGAGGTCCGGGCACTGTCTCTTGGGCCTTGCTTGTCTTGCTGCTTCAGAACTGTCGGTAGGTCAGTTAAGATTATGGATTTACTCATGATGAAAATAGGAGGATTTCATAGGCAAACAAATTCTAGAAGGGAGAGTGTCATGCTTTGCTCCAAGGCTGCTTTACGAAAGGAACAGGGGGTTTGCTTGTCCTGAAATTATTGTTTCATATTTCCTAGGATTAGATAGAAGCCCACAAAAAGCATGGAGGAAAACAGTGGACCCAGGGGAGCCCTTCCCTAAAGCTGAATGTTGGAATTGGCTACATCAAGATGAAGGGATGGCTTCTTATAGTCTTAACTTTTTAACAAATGCTTCAACAAAAGCCACAACTTTACAACTATTAAAAAGCAAAGGCCTTTTGCAGGGGAAGTTACTGGCTAAGGAAAAAATAAGACAGGCTGATGCAGCAGAGAAAAGATTTGGGTGCATAAGGAAAGCCCAAAATAATTTTTAAAAACCCAAAGGAAAGAAAGAAAGGGAGAGAGAGAGCGAGAGGGAGGGGCAGTTTACACGCAGATTCCATTTGGACACACCACAAGCCTGATCTGGAGGAGCAGAAGAGACCAAGGTCCCCGCAGTTGGCTGTGCAAAGGAAACACAGCAGAAAACAAACTTCGGGCTTAAGAGATCCGCTATTTTGCTTGGGAAGAAAGCAGCCTGTTTGGTCCCAGAGATCTTACCAACTAAGTAACCAAAAGGTTGGTACAATACTTCCTAACTAACACGTGTTGAGAGAGAGAGCACGAATCCCCTAACTTAAGGAAGATTTTCCACTAACTCATTGGTCTGCTGTGTGATATGAAGAGGAGTAGCTTTTATTATAAACTGCACTGCTTCGCTTACTCTTTTCTGTTAGCTTTTCATGATAAACAAGCCAGTTCACACGCCATGAGCATCTATGGGTTGTTTAAACCAAGGGTATTTATGCCTGTGCAGGCAAAAACAAGAAAGCTGTCTCTTCACACATTTTGTTAAACTAATCTTTGTTTGCTGTGCCATCCAAACCCAGCACTCTGGATTACTGAGCGAGAAACAACCTAGATTTTAAAACCAGTTGCTTCTCCCTTGTCCCAGGATTTAAACAACCCATTGATAGCTGCAACATGCAAACCAGGCCAATGAGGAAAGATATACAATCCAGTCTTCTGAACTGCCACCCACTAAACACTGGTAGATGTTCCTAGGTCAGCTAGCAGAGTGTTGATACAAGTTGAAAATTCTAATAATTTTAACAAAGCCTGAGCTTAGTTTCCTACCAAAACAATAACAAGGTTTTAAAATCGAGTACACTATATTAAGCTTGGAGACTGGTAAAAGAAACATGCCTATGAATACAGTGTTTTTGCAAAACTTGCTCCTTTGCACTAGCTCACACAATTAAAATACCAGAATGGTTCTTTAAGACACATGCACACAAAACAGGCAAGCTAATGCCTCAGTAGCAGATTATGTTATTAGTGAGTAAAGTACATAATCAACAGCAGTTTTATTGGTAAATAATCTGTGTTAAAATGGGGAGAAGTTGCCACACGTTCAGAGGTCCTCTTACATTCTCAGGATCTTCAGAAATCTGCCTCTTTTGCTATCCGCAAAAATTAAAACAAAGTGAGTTCACTTGAATGCTCAGTGCTTTAAATACAACCCTATGATATAATTGCAACCAAAAGGAGACAGAGAAACTTTTTGGGTGTGTGAGGTGCAGGTGTGTGCGGGGGAGAGAGTGCCCCTTCTTCCATCCCGAAAATTATTTTCGCTTTTTTCCCACTAGGTAGGAGAGACCCACGTAATCAGCCCTGCACACATGGCTGCGATATTCAGGCGCATATTCTTCTGCAGCCCAGGACTGCCCTGTGGCAATTTACAAGCCGCTCACGTGTTTGCAAGTTCACACGCACATGAGCAAGAGAAGGGAAGACAGGCCTAAAATGTCATCTTTGGGTAAAACTCCTTATGCAGGCTAATTGTTTGAAATGGCCAGGATACAAGTCTGACAGATAGCCAACATGTCTTCTTCGAATAATTTGAGACATCTCAAAGGTCTAGCACCAGTACTGAAACAGTTCTGGAACTCTGTCCCCAAGCATCTCACCACAGGGTAACATGTGGGGAGAGCATTCATTTCCACCCTTTCGTGGAAATGAATTTCGTGGCATTCATTTCCACCCTTTTGAAAGTCCTTCAAAATAAAGCTACCATATTTTGATGTGTGGGCAGAATAAAAGTTACTGTGATAAATAATAATAAATTTATATTTCCTGTATATTGGTGGTACCACAAAAATAGACGTAAGATCACAAGCTGAGAGGGAAATGAGTGTTCATGAGAAATCCAGATCAAACGGATGGAAGACTTAACATAAAAGTAGAACTAAAGAAGATGTTAAAATGAGATGAACTATTCAATACGAGGCTAGCACGTCCAATCTGAAATTATTTTCAGTTCTGCAAGTCAGTTCTGAATTTTGCATTGTATGTGATGCTAGGAAAAAGGCATTTATTACACATGGGGGCAGGAGGTTAGAGTAAAGAAGAGGATGTTAAAGAAGCTCCAAGAAAACCAACAGTATGAATTAAGGGTACAAAACTGGCAGTGTTCACAGTGGGTTTCTTTACCCAATCCTAAACTGTAAAGCAACACGTTGGAACGGTTTGGTATGGTATGCGTATTAGCAAAACTCAGCGTATTTTGCTGTTTAGTCCAAAACTGGAACAGAATGCATTTCTGGAAATTAAGTCCCTGATGAAAAGTGAAATATGCTATTTATCATAAATATTAGCAGTGTTCTGGCTGCAGAACAAATTGTATTTGCTTTCATCAATCACTTCATTTAGGGTACTGTGATACACTGCAAGTTTTATTATTTTAGTATTGCATTTCAAGTTCATAATTCGAGTAAATATTTTGGAAGAGCATCTGCAAGATGTTATATTAAACAGCAAGAAGGACAGAATTAAAGAACAGAAGAATGAAATGGAGCTACTTGTCCACATAGAGGACAAGGGATTAAAAAGGAAGACTCCAATTCTATGTATGAAAAAGTATTAGACAATAGCCTCCATATGTATATTTCTAAATTATCATAATATAGTATAATATCCTGTATTTTAGTCACTCAAGGTTACAGTTGTAGCAAAAGTCAGAAAGGTTTCTCTGCCAACTTCGTACCATATAGCTAGCTTAACTGAGTTGGTGGCATTTTACCTCTAAGTCGCCTTTGGTAATAGATTCTTCTTCCACACGGAATTGGAGGTCTTCCACCTTCCTATAAAGAATAAAAACACAAAAGGATGAAAACTGTTGGGTTTACCTGGATACTTCTCACTTAAGGGGAAAAAACTCAAGCATCACAACTCCATTATCATCACTGGTAATGAAATGCGCAGGATGTCAGAAGTCATACTAAAGATCGGGCACTGGTTCCCTGCTCTCTCCAAGAAAAATGCAGGTGGTTCTCTAAGGAACGTTTTCCAATAGACATCAACCTTGCGGAATCAAGTGGCACCAAAGCACCAGCTGTGTGCCATCTTCTAGCTTTCAAATGGCCACCTTTCCTTCAATGCTGGGTTGCTGATGAGGGAGGACGCTGGTGCTCCCTTTTCATCAGACAACCAGTCTTGGGTTTGCCAACTGCCTGTCTGACGAGCTCGTTGGATGCCGGCTGTCCACCAGAATGTGATAGGCCTGACATCACGACACCAGAATGCTTGATAGGACAAGAAGAGGGTCAGGCACGTAAAACTGGATGCAACAGAGAACGGCACCCATGTATACCCTTTGACGTTTCTATCACTGATCAGAATTCTGACTTGTTTAAGGTGTTCCAGCTGTACTGACTAGTACAGACCTCAGGACATTATGGCACCCTCCAAAATCATCAAGGCAAATGACCAGATCATATTATATGACTCACTTATATGTAACACATCTTTGTGGTTCAATTTGGAGCATTGATAAATTCAGTTAAACAACAGAGAAATGTTTGTATCAAAGCTGCAGAACCGCCTCCATCCTGAGGAACAAATTCCATTTTGGTGACGCTTTCAGGGACTGCGTTACAGTGGTGAGTGGGGCTAAAAACCCAGTATATTTTAGTTTAAATCTCTAACTGCCAGGGACTAATGAAGCATTTCAACATTACAAATGAGGGGAGAAACTGCCCAGAACCAAGAACCACCAGCAAACAAGCAATGGCCAGGAGAAGAGGTGGGCTGGGGGATCCCATAAGATCAGACTGGAAATCCAAGTGGGCCAGATTTGGCCACAGAGCCTGAGGCTCCGTGCCCAAGATCCATGTCCTTGCCAGCCGCTTGCCTTGAAGCAAGTACAAACTGACAGGAAATTGCATCCTTGACATATTACCCACAATCCCTGGGAAGTTCTCCCATGCGAAGTTCATGGAAATGAACAAGATCTACGCAGCAGGATCGCTACCTAATTCACGCTCATTTCCATGAATGTTGCATGGGGGAAGTTTCCAATGGATTGTTCCTCGTGTTAATCAGTATATATGGTGAGGGTGCCATTTGAATGTTCTGCCTTGGAGCAGCAAAATTAGTACAGTGCCAGTACATTTGTGATAACTCAGAGTGCTTGAACTTGGTAAGTTGGAGACTTCACTCCATATATGGTTGCTTGCACAAGCTGGAAGACATACAGTAATTTCCTTTTTAGAAGCCCTGACGGCCTCTGTGAATCTTATGTGCTGAACTGCGGCCACCGTGTAAACACTGTCATTTCTCTCAAGTTAAGGACTCTGCAGTTCTTAACACAGTGGGAACATGTCCCAGAGCAGGGAAAGAATTTGTGAAGGACAGGGGGAAAAAACTTGATGAGCGGAAAGCAAAACTACTGAGCTTCCTCAAGTTCCTACTGATTCTACTGTTTTTTGAAGGTGGGCATCCACAGGCCGTTCAGTTACAACTGTATATGGAAGTGGGGAAAATCCTAGACAGCTGAAGCTGCAAATATTTCTTGAGCTGCAGAATTCCAGTCCCGTTAAAGTCTATCAGCCAAGTCCATTAGTGCTGTTAGGTTGCCTAGCAACTTGCTCAAGGTGAGCTCAAGGCCAAGCCCAGACAGAGTTAAAGTGGTCCCCAAACTGGAATTGCCGTGCCTTGCACGAAGCGATACCTTATTGCTGAACAATAATCCTCAGCTAGGCAGCCTGGTCACAGAGTTTCAGCATGCTCTCTTACTCAATGTACACAGCTCTTTTAACATGCAACGTTATTTCCCATCACTTTCTAGCCAAGCATCCCTTCTTCAATGGATTCTCAGAAACTATAATTGGGAGATTAGAGATCTTCAAAGAAAGAATGATCAGGAGCTCCCCAAATCACAATTTCTCAAGGGAAGTCCTGACAGCTAGGTATGATATAGAACTGAGTGAATGTTCTGTACAAATAGGGCATGGGGACGAGTTTCTGAAGGCCATGAACCTGCAACCTGGCATTTTTTTCTCCTGCTGTGCTCACCATCAACTCAAATTGAACCCACTGGCCATGGGGTTTTCCCTTGTTCTTGTTCTGCGCATATATATATATATATATATATATATAATTTGACCCACAACTGTACAGATGGTCTCTCTGTAATTTTCGCCCTGAATCTTTGTTTTACCTTCTCTCTTCTTCCAGCTGGTTAAGCAGCTCTACCTTCTCTCTGTCAGCAGCTTCAACCAAAGCTCGCAGCTGGTCCATCTTAGCTTCCATTTCCAGTATTCGCTGATTAACAAAGGAATGTATTTTAGATAAGTCACCTATTTACTTAGACCAGACTAGAGCATGCTGGCTCCATATGTAACATACAGTTTCAAAAGCAGCTTAATTCCCCTCATAAAGGGCTGGGATTTGCCTGCAAAGAGACGGCAACATCATATTCTGAGAATGGATGTATTTTATCTTAGGGGATGATCTGACAAACGCAAGAGGCACAGTGCTATTGGGCAGTGGTGCCCGAGATCTTCCTTGGACAGTGGGAGATTACGGAATGACTCAGAGCCCTGGCCTATTAAAATGATCAGTGGTCATTTCGTCCCTGTTAAGCTGCAGCCTCTTTAGCAGCCCTGGAAAAAAAATCCACAGTTTTTAACATGGTCTTGTTCCTGACTCCTCCCTCTTGTACTAGGAGGCAGAGAGCTGGTTTTCTGCCAGCCCCATGTCAACAGGCAACTATTCCCCACCTGTACAGAGCGCAGGGGCACGAGACGCGAACGGGTACCTGGTCATGGCCGTCGCGTGCCAGGGCGAGCTGCTGCTCGATCTCCCCCACATGGCTGGTGGCCTTGGCGACCTCTGCCCTCTCCAGGTCCCGCTCAGCCAGGAGCTGCTCGATGTGCTGCTGCTTCTCCTTCAGTGCCTCCTGCAGAGCAGTGGTGCCCGAGATCTTCCTTGCATATCGAGAAGATGTTTCTGTCAACTTTGAGGGGGAGACACCGTTTTTAGGACTTCTGCGGCCATTTCGACAAAGCACGAACGTGCACGTTGGCTCTCCTACATTCGCCGCCAGCTTTTTACGCTGGGATTTCACAAGCGCAACGCTGTGTACATCCGCTTCTTCCAGCAAGGAGCCAGCGGGCACAGAGAAGGCGAAGCACAGCCAAGGGCGAGCACCTCCCTTGGATCCTAACAGCTCCCAGGATCCAGCCGAACGCAAGTGCATTAACCAGCAGGCACACAGACCGATTCGGCCTCCTGCGGCTGGATAAACATTGTGCACGCTCCACGGGACCCCCCTCTGGCCAGATCAAGGAAGCGGGCACTTCAGCAATCCTAAGCCCAGGTCTATACAGGACGCGCCCCTTTTTGTAGGTGGCTTGGTGGGTGACTAGAAATACGACAGAACTGCAACAAGGCACGGAGATGTTCGCCACAGGGCAGGGATGTTTAAACGGGCATGGCTGCCTCCTTTTCCCACTGCAAGCAGTCCATGAATCCCAAATCCTGTGTGAACAGGGGACAGAGGAGGGTGCTGGGGAGAGAAAGAACAAGGCTAGAAAGCAGCTTCTGGCCAGTGGGTCCTGCTTGTATCAAACAAGCGCAGGCAGACGATACAGGAAATTCAGGGTGGAAGCCCCCATGTGGCTACTTGCTTCAGGCAGGTGCAGAAAAGAGCAGGGTGTGCAGGTGTGACCCATTCCAGCCTACAGCTCCGACGGGATGCTGCACCCTTCGCTGGGCTGCCTACAGCTTCTGGGAAAGGTAAGCCAGAAACCTCTGGGGGGGCCGCGTTGCCCACCCTGTGAAAGGACGGGCATGGCGCACATCTGGCCTCACCAGGGAGCTCTGTGCATGCCCCCCCCACACCACGTGTGCAAGCTGGAATGCGTGCCCTGTTCTGTGTCAGCGCGGCAAATACGCGCGGTACGCAGGCCATGCTGTTTTGTCACTGGAACAGTGGCTGGGAGCGAGGAAAGGAGAAGCCGTGCCGGGGCAGGCGCATCAGGGCAGGACGGGAGGGCAGGCAGGCGGGCAGGCAGGCAGGTGCGCACTCAGTGCCAAAGAGGAACTGGGCATCGTTGCAGCTCCTCCTCAGGGGTCGCGGCCACAGAGGCACAAGGCGTGTCTGCTCCACGTAACACAGGCAGTGGGGGCGGCAATGCTGAAAACGCTATTTGCTTCCCTATTCGAGTTTTTGCTTTAGTAGTTCAAGAAAGGAAGTGAACATACCTGCATAGCAAGACTCTTAATGCAGCAATCAGAAGGTAGGAAACAGAAGGGTTCAAAGAGAAACAAAGGTGGGAGCCTCAACCTAAGGTGGGAGCCTCAACAGAAGATTAGCTTGTTAAGCTGCTAAGCATTCTTTGACATGGGCACCGGCTAAATATAAAAAACGTCCTTCTGTTAAGCCAAAGAAGTTGCTCACTTATTCAAGTCAACCTGGGGTCACATGCAGCAAAACACTGTTTCCTTGTACGCCTGGGTTTTTTTTAATCCAGTCGTAGTAATCGTGAAATCGGTTTGCAATTATACTTGTCTCATTTTGAAAGAAAACAATAGCACTGTAATGTCATCATTTTAATTAGAAGGTTTTTTTTTTTAAGTCCAAAAAAATCCCTTTCTGGGCATTTCCAAATGGCAGCATCTGGAATTTCTTCTAATCGTTTTCAAAAATTATCCTCATTGTACCATCATGTTACAGCACTAACAAGTTATTGTATTTTTTAAATCAACATTATAGCATTATAGTGTTATAGGTCTCTTTCATGAAAAAACAGCTGGAAAGTGCTTCAGCCATCATTAAAAATCAATTAAAAACAAGAATTCAATATGGCAAGCATGCCATAATTTATAAGAAATGTGTGCCACGCATCAAATGGCTCCACGCGATGCAGTGAGGTCACACCTTCTGATGTGCAGAAAACACTGCCAGGATGCGCACATGAAGTACAAAACTCCCAACTGTGAGGCAAGTTGACTGCAATTCTGTTTATAATGCACAATAAAAAAGCAATTATTGAGTAGTGCTAGAAGCTACTCATTTGGAAGCAGCTTTGGTAACAGTATCTTCAAAATGGACCTATTTTGATAACAATGATCTATTTAAAAACACTGTAATGTCCGGCCCAATCTTTATCAGTTTATACCAGCGAAGAATGATGAGCTTCCATTTGCTGCAGGTGACCCAAGATTAGATTACTAAAAATATAATGTATTAAACAGTTAATCTACAGTGAGTAAGATGTTAAAGTAGTATCAACTCAACACTTTTACATTGTCTGAGTCTTACAAAAGTTAACCTGAAGTAAAAAGAAAGAGGCTTTATAAACTCAAGTATACTGAAATTTGGACAGTATATTAATTCATCTTGGCCAATTATACACAAGCATGATGACTGATTCAGAGAGAGGAAAAATTACTTTCCAAACAGTCTATTCTCAAAGCTAGTTTGCACTTAAAAAAAGAATTTCTCTATAAACTAACAAGAGCCAGAACTGTTCAATGCTACACATGTTTACTTAAATGTATTCAACACAGTAAGCAAATTTAGGATTGTAGCTGATGACTTGGAAGCTTCACAGGGTCTTATTTTCTTCAGGTTGTCAGCCCAATTTTAATAGCGAATGCATTATGGAAGGAACTGGGATACCATGCAGGTAATACAGAACCTATCTACTTTATAATTAAAGCATACACATCTCACTTATTGTAAGCAGCAATTGTTAGCTTGGATTAAATGTTAAGTACACAAGTTTAAAAACAAACCAACTCTTCTGCTCCTCAGGGCTAGCCAAGATTTTTTCCATGCATGCTTTCAGTGAACAAAAACATTAGGAGAAAATGGACAATGAAAAATCATGCGTGCTTTTCTCAAGATCTGTGCTATCCTCTGTTTTATAAAAGCCAGACACAGGCAGTGCCAATTTCTGCTCAGGGGATGTAAAGCATGCAGTAAGAAAAGAAGCTTACTAGTCCTGTACGGCTTGGCTTGCTGCTTACTGATGATGCCACGGAGCTCAGTGAGCTGAGGGAGGAGGCGCTTGGGCTGCGTTTCAAGCTTGTGGGTGTTGGGAGGACTTTCCTGACGGTCGTCTTGGCTTTTGCCGGCGTAGTCGAGGGGAAACCAATCTTGGTAACTTTGTGGACAGGGGCAAACAGGCCATATTTTGGCTGGCACTGGAAGTACCTGGTGGTGCAAAGGAGAGGAGAGAACACTCGGAAATGAGGGGCTATTTCACAGAAGGCAGACGTGCCCATGTGTGTCACAGATCTATTCAAGAATGTTAAAAGGAATTCTGCGCACAATACACACAAGCACGTCAGCAGCAGTCCTACATGCTTTGACCACTTACACACGTGTAACTGCCACAAAGTCAGTAGGGCTGCGCCGGTATATGAAGAAATGGAATTGGTCCTTATGGCTTGTAGTAGCTAGAATTGCTTTTATTTTACTGATAACATAAATTCCTCCTAGGAGGAGCTGAGGTCCGACCGTCTGGAGATGTGCCTTGGTCGCCAGTGCTGGTCTAGAACATTCTGGGGTTGGATCAGCAGAGATGAAGAGGCCTCACGTGAAGACACAGGGACTAAGGCCAGTCTTGCCAGGCCCCTCGTTGTTTTTGTGGATTCGAACTAACCTTGTTCCGGCCACGGCACCGTCATTCTTCCCCAGGGGCTCATCTAATTCGACACCGCACCATTCTCCCTTGGCAAAGTCGGTCTCCCCTAGGAAGCGCACCACGCCAGCTTTCGTACCACCAACCTGTTTCACGAAGAAGAGGGGGAGCAGCTTAGAGAAACAACTCAAGACACAAAACAAGATCAGAAGCAAAACTATTTTGCATCCTGTAATAGTGGCTTTTAGGCATCTAATATACAATTAAACCATTTTTAACCTTGTAATTTACTACACATCGGAATGTTATCTAATGCACACTATGATTCTTCCATACAGAGTAATGAAATTGGGAATTAGTTACTGTCCAGTAATACAGAACTACCTGGTGGAAAATTAAACATGCAGAATTGGGGATGGGAAAGCTGTTATTTCCAGCAATATGGCTCTCAAAAAAGTTAAATTCTTTGATTTTTTAAAAAATATTATTGCTACTGACTCTTAATTCCTAGCCAAATTCTACAGTTAATTTTACAGTTCCACCTTCTGGCAAATGAAAACAGAAACACAACAGGTGAGGTAGAAATGGTCAGGCAAGGAAATTTTATCCTTGTCCTGTAAGTAACAAGTTCTCAAAGCTCTTCAGAGATGAGTCTGACTTTGACAACAGATTAAACAAGCATGAGAGGATAGCATGGCAGGAGCTGGTCACCAGCTCAATTCCATGGTTTTTAAGAACGTTTAACCATGTTTTGCTATGTCTACCCCGGCAAACCAGGATAAGAAGCTATGGCTTAACGTGGGTTTGTAAAGCATGGTTTTGCACTATGCTTTAGTATTATGCATAAATTGATAAGCTGTAGCTACAGTCAGTCTTTGGCCTCCGGAGGCCGCTGTACCACAGTATTAAAACACAACATTAACTGGAAAGAGAAAGCAAACAATTCCTTCAACTGCAGGTCTAGTTGGTGCAAGCCAAGCCACTCTGAACCACTGTGGATACATGTTCAACATGTTGGCAAGAACAGCAGTTTTCACACATAACTAATTCAAAATTGTAATGAGTTCCTCAGGAAATCTCGTGCATTCAGGATGTTGAGTTATTTTGGGCAAACTTTTTTCGGCCAACACAGTTACCTGTAGTGACTGCCAACAAGCACTCTTGATCAGAAACATGCACTTTAACCTGGACGGGAAACTTGAAGATCAAACCAACACCAACAGAAATATTTATAATGCAGTCTCCGAGAAAGTTAATGTACGAATAGAAATAATTAAATAATTTGGCGGAGGGGAATTCAAAGCTATCAGGAGTTATCCGTGTTTACAGTATTAGCTATATGCACAACTTGATTCAGGTGACAAACCTAAAAATTACTTATATATGTTTACTCAAGACAGAAAGCAAATGGTTTAGAAGGGGCTATCGCTTCTTTTGAGCTGTTTTGTGTTCACAATGTAAGTACCACAGCAGCTGAAAGATGATATTCTAAAGAGCATGTAGTGCCAATAGGTTTTTTGATTGTTAAAAGGCTAAATATGCAATTCTGTTTAAACATGTGTAAGATTGAGTTTAAACACTCAATCCATCCCAGAAGCAACTTCCAATACTCATAGACACCACTGCGTTCTGGGATGGACCTTGTTCCGATAGGACATCATGCAACCACTCAACCAGCTAGTCAAGTTATTCCTCTCCTAGAACACTCTTTAGGCAACCCTGTTAGCATCGATTCTGAAAATATGCAGAACTTTGTGTACACGCCACTCTTTAAAAAAAAAAAAAAACCCAAACAGGAAAAGTTGCACAAGTTCAGCATGCACATGACTAGAAAGCAGTTTCGATTTGTACTCCCTCAAATATCTCTCTTTTTCAAATTAAGTTCTCTTTTATAAGTGCGCATAATATACCCTGAAAGAAAAGGTGATCGAGAGTTAGAAAGTACTATTTTGTATTTTTCTTTTATCAGTATCTATTTATTTCATTTCTATCCTGCCCAAAGCTAAAGCTCTCATGGTGGTTCATACCAATTACGACCACAAAAAAACAGCAGGATAAACTAACTTCTCATCCATCATTGCATTACTGCTTATTCCCAAATAAAACAGGCCAGAAGCAAAACTACCCCAAGTTCCAGCAGGGCTACATACATATTGTACTATGCATTAGGTTAATATACTGTCACTCTTTTGAGGACCGATTTGCCCAAAAATGTGGCCAGGGCTGTAATAGGAACTATCCCAGGAAGCATAAAATAAATTTCAATTGTGTGAGCACAAATGTTTATACTACTGCTAGTTTTGGCTTGGAGGTCGTACAGTTGGTTGCCGTGCCACTTTAACACAGTTTTACTATGTCGGGAAGCAGGCAGCCAAGATCAGTGGCTGTCTTTTCCCCCTGCTAAAAAACCCCCCAAGAACAAAAAGCCCACCTGACAAGTTTATCAATAAACAAGGGCAATCTGGCATCCTGAATAAATAGCTGTGCTAGTGACCTTCACTCGTACTGAGGCAGAGTGCTAAAAAATTGAAGAGCAGAGAAAAGATGCCAAGGCTTTTTTTAGCAGAGTATGACAGCCCCATTTAATTCAGGATGGATGATGTAAAATAGTCATGAGCCAGAACTGATCCGGAGATCACTGGAACTCCCTACCTCAAACCTGCAGGGCAGAGGGAGACAGAATAGGAGGAAAAGCTTAGCTTGGTACCCATCCAGTTTTTAAATCACCTAAAATGAGTAACATCACAATTAAGCATCAGTTGTCAAATATGAAAAGGAAACAAATTTTCAACATTGAAGAGTTCAGGAAAATGCTTCTCTCTCCCCTGATTTTTTGTTTTTGTTCTTTACAAGAAAAGACATAAAAAGCATGCTGAGGAGAGCAGATGGCACAAACACACACACTGTTGTAAATAGGCATCTTTAGCATTCTTCTTCTGCAGAACACAACACTTGAACATGTGGGAAAGAGCACCAGTTCCTCCCCAAAAGGGGATGGGCCGTGGTGCTACAGACAGCATTTTGTATATAAAAATGTGTCTGGAAGCTTAAAAAAAGAACTACTCCAGGTCGGCTACTGAGATGGAGCCACTTGGCTCTTCTTCTGTTTATTCCTGACTCATCCACACACTGCATGGAACCAATGAAGCGGGGCAGATAATGGGCTGGCTTTGGATTCAAATCCTCTGCAGACATGAGGGTCATCGTGCATCCTCAGGCTCATGATGTTCTCATAGACTCATCTACCCTACAGAGTTTTTGCAAGGATAACATAGCACAGCTTCCATACCAACTAAGAAATACTTCCTTTATTAAGATCAAAGTAGAAGCTTTGATTTCATTCATGGCCAAAAAGAAATCTTGTGCACCTGAGCCTTAGAGAGGAAGAAGCAGGGAGGTAAGCAGGCTGGAGTTGATGGCTTACGTATTTTCTATTGGAGTCCCAGTCTCGTTTCTTCCCCCTTCCTGACACTTCACTAGACGGCCACAAAAAGCATGGCGGATCACCACTCCCATGCCTTGCTTCTTCCACTGGATACACACAAGGTTCCCAGCCTGAAGACTTCTGCCATGGAGGGCACTGGAATGTGCTTTTGATCATTTTAACCTGTACTCCTTTTCACTGAAAAATTCATTCTTAAAGCTGTCTCTCAAAGTTAGGGTAGATTTTGCCTTACCTACACTCAGATGGATAAAAATAAGATGAACTAAAACAAGGCACAGGCAGAAAGTCACAAAAACACAGAGCCACCTCCTCCAGAGTTTCCCCTAACATGCAAATTTGCTTTGTAATATTTTGAGACATCTGCTAGACACTGGAGCTTTAGAACTCATCTCTAAAAGTGCGAGTTTTGTCATGCGACACTGCAGTTATACAAAATGCTGCCTTCACCCATTTAGAAACGACACAAGCCAAATTCAACCAGCTATAAACAGATTTGACTGTTCATTTCCAACTGCCTCCTTTAATTGTGATAGAAAAATGCATCCGTTTCTGCAATAAGACTGTGAAGGAGCAATGTACTACGTCCTGGAGCAATTATATATAAAAATATAGAGGTTATAATTTCAAGTGACAGTCTTTGTTTCAACCTTTGTATAATAGTAGTATATGGGCTTGATAGAGGACAGCTTTTCAGTGTTCAGCTAATCACAATTTTACTTGCCTTCTTACTGCAATCTTTTCCTTGCCTCCTTATTTCTGTCTTTTAATCTCTATACCATCCCATGTCATTTATGCCTGCAACCAGAAGGACTGGATTTCATTTTTAAAATAAAGAACTTAGTTAGTTTGCACAAAAATACCTTAGAAACTGAATACCTGTGAATAACTGAATATTTGACTTTTATCACCCTTTCACTCTTCTGCTTTGAACCATTGTATCACCCGCTCTGTCTTGATTTACTTAGATTTTTACTCCACACTCACAAATGAAATACATAAATAAAGTCGGTTTCCTTCCCTCCTGTGGACTACAAAAGCTTCAAATACATCTAAGCAAGCTATTTGTGGGGAGGGGATATTAAATTATCAGTGTTCTTCCTTTCAAAGCCTCTAAAGTGTTTTTGATACAATGGCATGAATGATTTAGGTTTTTCCATTTGGAAATCTCATATGAAATACAAGCTTGCTATACATTTGCTTCTAAGATGCCTGATGTAGAAATACACCTATCCCTGCCTTTCTAGTACTTCATATATTCTGGGAGAATACTACTTGGCTGGAACGCCCCATGCCCTGAAGCAACATTGTCTCTTGCAATATTCATGGAAGCTTTTACATGTAGGTCCTTCAGGGACAACATTCTCTACTAACTTTTTAAAAGTGACATGCATGAAGTCTAGGGATTGTCTTCACGCTTAGCACAACTGGATCATTTTAAGAATGCTTCTGTTAAACCATGTTCCCTGTGACCTCTAAGGCTAGAGCACGGCTCACCTGAGAGGATCTAAGTCAAGATAATAAGTTAGAAGAGCTTAAAGTGCATTCACCAAACTGAGGCCACCGCATCCTCCTTCTTTGACACACACACACACACACACACACACTCTCACTCTGGCGAAAGCCAGAAATACTTAGGCTCACATCCATCACCACTCTTCCCTCCTAATAGGAGCTGAATTTGAAGAACAACCAACAGGGCTCCAAGCTCAACATTCACTGTGTCAGGAAACTGATTTGGGCAGGAAAACACTTTTCGATGCAATTTACTTGTGAGCCACAGAACTGAATTGGGAAGCTACCCCAAATGTCATTGAAGGGGCTACAATACACCAAAACTTCACCTAACAGATTAGTTCATATAGGTGAATTAAGAGTCAATACACCCTCGTAACTGCAAGGAATACAAAAGGTGTCCCAGGTTAGCCTTACACACCTCAATGAAAGCTCCTTGCCCTCCCTGGACCATGCGCCATGGTTCAGCCCAAACAGTAGGCCTGGCAAGCTACCTGTCTAGAAGAACTATGCAGGTGGTCTGATGTACCTAAGCCATCCAGTGAGGAACAGATGATTGATAACTTTATCTGTGGCGGAGACTTCAAGCTGCACAAGCTGGGGGGGGGGGGCTCCAATGCATCTTCACCTCAACCTCTCTTCCTCTCTCCTGCATCATTTAGGATCTGTTATCCAATTTCATGCTATTGCCAGATTACAGGTTTTCCTGCCAGCAGCAGCCAATGACATGGCACAGGGGAATACACAGTGTGGCAACACCATGACCTTACAGGGAAAAATCAGCTTTTTTTCCCTTAGTCAGGTTACGTGTGGATCAAACTTAACTTCCTGTATTTTGAAATTTGGCAGCATCGTGGGAAACCTATATAGGGAAAGGTCACATTTCAGCTCTTGCTTATTGTCTTCCGTAGGAGAAGGCCAACGCGACTGCAAAAGCAATTCACAAATGACAGGCTCAGCAAGGCTTTCCAGACTGTTCTTGCTGTCGACAGCCCAGTCAAAACGAGGATGTATCAGAGCTGGCATCTAACAGGTCTCTGAGGTTATGCGATGCCCAAGAAGAAAACTGCCAGGCCTGCAGAACTTTGACAAGCAGGCAAATGGAGTCACTTTCGCCGTCTGGGTAAGTAACAAGAAATCCTGCAAAAAGAAGCGTGGGGCGATCGTGCTGTCAGCATGCATAACACAATGCGCTTCTGCCTTTGAACTGGGCAAGCCCAGTGGCATTTCCACTGCCTTCTGGAAGAACTGTCAGCTCACAACAGCAGCTGACGGTCTGGTCTTCCCAAGCAACTGCCAGGCCTCCAAGCCTAAATTGCCCACAAGCGTGAAGAGCAAACGCCCTTCTAGAAAGCCTGAGCCACTGAACAAGGAATGAGAGCTCAGGAAGGTGGGAAGTCTTTCAAGCCCATGAGGTTCCTCGAAGGGCGGCTGACAAAGCTTTAGAGGTGTTTGACTCAGTAGATCCGTTTGACCTTTGGCTCTCCTGACTTTCACTCAGGAAACCTTCTGTGGTCAGAAGGACAATGCAATGCCTGTTTCCTAACTTTGTGATATGAAGAGCTATCTCTAGAGCAGAGGGTGCAAGAGGACCAGGCGCTCACTCCGACAACTGTTCCCAAACTTTATGTTGCTAAAATAAGTCAACTAAACCATTACATGTCCCTATCAGCCGAACAACCCCATCCTCAGAAGAGGACTTTTCTACAGGTCCTGATCCAAATCATGTCTATATTCAGGAGAAATGGATCGTGCAATCCTCTGTGACCCAGAGGCACCACAGAATTACAAGGCCTTGAAGGAAGCCGCACCTGGCCTCTCGCTGCACTGAAACAACGGCACCTGGTGTGCCACCCTCCAGTGAGAAGGGACACCCTGATCAGCGATTCATGCAGAAACTCTTAAAAACGCTCTGTAGGCATAAATTTTGGAGACTGAAAGTGAAGCACGACAACAATTCTAATTCAGAAAAAGCTCATCTCAGTTATTGTATCCCTTACAGTGTAGTGAATGTGGACTTTGTTTACTGTTGAGTAACCTGATATGCTACTTAAGTGCCATTTTTGACAGTCAGTCAGAATGCAAATCAAATAAATTAAATGATTAAAATACCCTCGGGGCAGCTAGCAAGATAACTGAGCATTGCATTTAGAATTACAACAAATTCTAATTCTAGAATTACAACAAAATATGAGATAAAACGGACAATAAAATGGCAGGGACAAAATGTGTAATGCCTGGGAAAATAAGATTATATTGCATGAGAACTACATGATGGAGTTGGTACCAAGCAGGCTGCTTGGAGAAGAGAATTTCACGATCAGCCTGCCTGCATGGAGCCGGCTCTCTTCCCTAGGAGCACCTGCCTCCCCACCAATGGCTGGAGCATGCAGAGAAAGGCCTCAAGCCGATCGCAGCTTTTAGGCAGGTTGGAATGGAAATGGGCGCCAGAGGTTCTGTTGCCCTATTCTGAAGTGAGGCCTCAGGTCATGCTGTCTAATAGTATAATTTCTTGGAAACAGAACACAAAATCAAAAACTTACCAAAACTCTGTCACCTATTTTGAGTTCTCTTTCTCCTTTCTTTACAGAACCGGCTTCAGAAAGGTTTGAGATGGATTCGCTTGCTGTTTTCGAAAGATTGCTGACTTGAGAAGCAGGGTGCTCCTTCGCAGCAGGAGACGTTTTGTGCGGAATACCTGTGGGAGGCAGGTGTGCAACTGCGGAAGGCGAAGACACAAGGCTAGCAGCTGACACAGACGTGGGTGAAGTTGCTCGAGAAGCAGAGGAAGCCTGAGTACCATTGGATTCGTCCTCCGCCACCACTTTCCGCGTTAGCTTGGAGGGCCTTGTGAAGATTCCTCTCAAGGGCTCGCACTGGAAATACCGGACTCCGGCCACAGAGCCATCGTTTTTGCCAATGGGCTCATCCAGAACGATTCCTGCCCACTGTCCCGGAGCGAACTGTGTTTCTCCCAGGAACTGAATAAAGCCGGGCTTGTTCCCATTGACCCAAACACGCTCCCCGATTCTGAAGTCATCCACAAACTCATCCTGTGTTTCTAAGGCAGGTGCAGCCGACGTTTTCTCACTGGCTGCTGATTTTTCTGGTGGGACTAGAAACAAATGTGAAAGAAAAGAGACTTACTCTGCAGTTGTACGTGCCTCAAATAAGATAGCTACTGTCTGCCTTTCTTATTCCGAAGGAAAAAGAAAACGGATTGTGCAATCGGGGAGGGGGCTGAACCTTGGCCACAGAAACCAAATCTAGCCTAGGTCAGGTCCAAATCTCCGCCTTCCGAGCTCCCAGATGGCCAGGCTCCGTTGCCATGGGCACACCACCTTCGCCCGGCCAGTTCTGCTTTGGGGGCTTCCTTGGTTTGATGTGGCTTCCCTCGACTCTTAGAAGGGCCATATCCCTCTCCCAGCAGCAAGAGCTCTCGTAATAGGCTTCTTTTTGGTATTTTGACTTGGCACTGCCTTCAGCGCTGCTGCATGCAACCTCAGCGCTGCCACGTTACAGAGAGGCAACCTCTAGCATGATGGGATGTCAAACTCTTACCAGAAGCAACAGATGTCGCCGTTTTCTGAAGCACGCTTCCAGGCTTGCTAATCTTGGTAGGAGCCTTAAGCCCACTTGGCTTCAACATGCTCATCTTCTCTTTCACTGCTTGTTTAATCCCTCTGTCTGCAAAAACTACCTTTTCCAAAGCATCGATGCAGGTATGGTTTCCGAGGTTTGCTTTTGGGTTAAACCTGTGCAAAGAGGGGAAAAAAGGAAATATAAATGCTCTTTTTGCTTTGGAACTGCTTGTAAAGAAACTTCTGCACCCAAATCATTCATTCTGAGGAAGATTAAAGGAATATTCTCAGAGCAAAGATGGAAACTACCACGTACTAGAAATCTCATTTTGTCAAAAGCATATTGACTTTTTAAAAAAAACTTAAAAAGATATCTAAAGTGTTTGTGACTGCTGTTTTCACATTCAGTGTTCAGCTAGCAGCAGCCGCCAGAACTCTTTACAGAATACCACTACAGAAAAGACTCAGCCATTTGAGTCATTCAGAAAATTCTAGGTATTTACAAAGTGTTTCAACGTTCTAAAGCAAAACACACAGCCTTACAAGGAAGAAGAGTGATCAAGGAAAGAAAAGTAATTGGCACATGTTTGGGGAATCAAAGCCTTTACGATCCAAACAATAGCAAAACCCCTTCAAGATAATCAACAGAGCACCCTCCCTTGACTGCGAAGGAACAAGCGTCCACCTCTGCTCTAGCAGCACTCCTTGCTGAGGATCCCGAGACTTGTTGGCCTGGTATACAGTTCCCCATACAGTGCCCCAGATCAGCTTCCTTGGAGCCAGAGCAAGAGAGGATGTTGCTAGGATGAGTGAATAACTTTGCTTTAGGGGCCTATTATAGGCTTTCCAGAAGGAACCACACCGACAGATTCCTTTCTTGAAGCAATTTGCATCTAGTCTTCTTCACCTGGTGACCAGAGCGACATGCTTTAATTGCAACGAGAAAATGACAGATTATTTTTAACTCAGCACATGCTGAACTGTGATCTAAATGGCTATTTACAAATGTGCAACTTAAGCCCAAAGGTGCTTGAAAACAAGCAGCGAGCAGGCTAGTGGCACAGGAAAGACAAACAATTAAATCACCTACAAGCAGCTTTCCCGAGGGGGCAGAGAGGTTCCAAAGGGCACCGCAGAAGTAACTTGCTTGCTCAGCCCTTTTCTCAGAACTTGACACATAGGCTATGGAACGCAGATCCCGCTGTTTACGCAGTATCCCGGCAGCACTGCAGGCCTCTGTGGTGCAGCGTTAGATAATCTTCCCGGGACTCCTACCAGCACCCTGAGCCTGGGCGGAAGCTGGTCTCTGAAGCAGAAGGGAATGCTCCGGTGCAGAAAGGCAGGGCGCGTCTCCCTCTCCTCCTGATCCCCAGGTTGACAACTGCGGTTCACGTGACTTGCACCCTGGCTCTCGCTTAGATGCTCATGGTAAAATAAAAGCCAGCCACCCCCTCGCCATTTTGCACAAAGACTGAGGTCTTGTCTGGGCTCTGCTACACCTCTTCCCCTGCTCTTACTCCCCATGTTATATGCTTGCATGACACCCACTGGATGACAGAGAGTGAAAAGGCCTATAAAAGCACAACATGCATGTGGTGGAAGCACATGCTTTCCCTATGGAGGAAGGGACTAAAAGGAAGCATTCTGCTCTATTTCCTGGTATTCCATAGGCACTTAAAAGCCACAATTCATTTAGTCTAATGCCAGTGGTGTAAATCCCTTGAGCTGAAACACCCCCTGAAGCCTTTCAAATGATTATTCCAGCAGATTAACCACACAAAGTAGTTATGCGGGGAGGAAACGGACTGGCATTCCGAGTATTAAAAGTTAGCTGCTAAGAAATCAACATGGGGCAACCATGATCGCACCAAAAATCTTTTAAAAATAAACCACAGAATAGTCAAGGAGGAAAGGACAGGCTCGTGATTCTGAAACTGGGAATAAAAACAAAACAGATTTATAGTACTCAAGGTTAGCTAAAGAAGATAAGCAGTATTAGGCTTACTAACAGATGTGGATGGCAGAATATGGCCATCAAGAAAATGACAGAACTAAGGAATATTTTTTAAGAGGCTCACCAGGTTCTCTTGCAAATCCTTGTGGAGGTTTTGGCTTGTGATTTTTTCCCCCATGTTTCAGGTGTTCTGCACTCCCTGGCATTGTTTTAAACAAATGCCATAATTAGAACAAGCAAAACAAATGCTATTTGTCCATATTATCAAGTTAAGCCACGCTGCTGAGGTTGGGGGCAGCCCGTGGTCCCGCTATGACTTGAGACGCATGAGGAAGGCTGGCAACAGCAATCCCCACTCAGGTTGCATCCCTGTTCGGCTACTCTAATGTGTGATTCATGTGAATGCCCCCAAATAAAGTTCAGGAACTGCACTTCCAAACGCAGCAACCTCTGTTGTGTTGTGATCTTGCACAACAGGCAGATCAGCACAGCAAGACCAGAATAAGCCTGGGCCCTTCTGACAGATCACCTGTTGTGATGGTAAAGGTTTCCAGAGTTCACAGAACTCTAGACTAGCACATTTTGGATTTGGCATCTAATCCAATCAGTGTAGAAAACAGATACCCTGAATGTTTAAATGGAACATTATACTCAGTGCTAATCAGGGCTATAGGAAGTATGGTGCTTTACAGATGCAGTTCTCAGTGATAAGCAAGAGTTCTTTTTAACTCACTTCCTATTTTCTTAACCTCAGAAAGGATTTCCTCCCATTCTAACAGAGTACTAAAGATTTTCACAATCTCTTCACTATTACTCAACTACTAGCTAAGTAACTAAGAACTTAGCATGCTGTGCTACTTTTCAAAGGAGCATCAAATTAGATCATTATGGAGCATTTCCTAAGACTTCAGGGTGTCCATTTAAAAATAATGCATTTGGAGTAAAGAGGAAAAAAGAGTTCATGCAAAATGAAGGATTAAGCAGGTGATTTTTGTGTGTGTGCATGAAAGAAACTTGGATGAGTAGCAGGCAATATGTAAGACGTGACACGGAAAGGCAAATTAAACTTCTGCTCTCTCAATACTGTTTGCTCAGGGTTCAAAACAAGAGTGAGTGGTGGCAAACTCACTCCACCACTTCTAATAATGATGTATTATGTTTATTTATTTTATGTGAGCCGTCCCGAGGCTGTAAGCGATGGGACGGCATACAAACATTCTAAATAAATAAATAATACATAAACTATGGGCAAACATGAGAAATCAAATTCTAAGGTAAGCATTATAATTTTGCTCACTATGGAAAGGAACCTGCAACTTCAAATGGTGGCCTTAGAATCCTTGTAAGTCAGTTAAGAGGGGTGATGCTCCTTCTGCTAACTTCTCTGCTTAAACAAATGCAAATTCCAGAGGCAAGGGTACTGCGAAAAGAGCAGACGTTATGCCAATCCTTCACACACTGCTGGAGAGGCCACGCTCCCGGATTTACAGAAGAAAGTCCTCGGTTTGAAAGGAAGTGCAATTAGAGAGCGTAACAAAGATCTTCAATCTCCCCCTTCACAGTCAGCACCCAAACAGGAAACCAAACAAGTGCACCAGACACACGGCGTTGGTCCTCCCACTATGGGAAGCTGCACTATATTTCTACGTAAAGCAAAGTAATACTCTCTAAATTTGCATCTATGCAAATAATTTAAGCTGGCAATTTGCATAGGAGCCCAGCTCCTCCTTTCCTGGCAGTGCATTTCCCCTTTTGGCAATGCATAGTGGCAATCTTACACACAACTGAAACCCAAGGATGTCTTTCCCAAAACTACATTTTGAAGAAGCAGTAACTGACCTATATGTGCAGGTGTAAGGCAACAAAAAGTCTATTTAAAAGCTGGTGCTCTCCAAAGAGTACCTACCCAAACCTGAGATATGGCTCCTGTCTTTCCAGCAATGGTTAAACGCGATGCTAATGCTCAGGACAGCTTCTAGGAATCAGATCCTTCTTGTGTGGTGTGGCCTGAAACACCCTCCACTTGTGCTATTTAATTATGCACAGCGAAGCCTATGAGGGTGGGCTCTCCCCCTCCCCCCTTTTGTATTATGACTTCACTGGCTCTGACCTCACAGCCAAGGATTCAGGAATGTCTGCAGGAACGCCTCTTGGAATGCCGCTGCAGGCCGAGCTCCCTGGAGAAGGCGGAGGGAGGGCTTCCCAGTCAAGCCATTCCAACACACCGCCCAACAATGCTAGCTTTGTCACGGCATTCCTTGGAAGAATAGGCTCTTCTTTCCGTACCGTTCCTTATAAATTATGGAATAATCATTTTAAATAGCAGGAACATACACACTGCTGATGTTACTCTCCAGCAAAAAAGGGGGGCACAACTGGCCATGGTGTGGAGGGCACCCCCCCCCAACAAAAGGCCCAGGAGCTGCTCTTCCTCCTTACAAGGAGTTTATCCCCCTACCTCTTACTCTGGTCCAGGTGTCAGCAGCACTAGGAAGGATGGGCAGGAGGCGCAACTGTCACAGGCTCACTGGCTCGCTCTCCCGGCCAACCAAGCCAGTAGCAGCAGCAATGAGACAAGGGGGCAAGCTGCACGAGCAGCCGGTGAAGGTTGACTCACTGAGGAAGGGAACTGGCCATTTATTTGCCCAAGGGCTCCCCAAAACTGGGAGCCGATCCTGGTGGTTCTCCAAGGCACTAGTGGGGACAGTAAAGAAAAAGAATCAAGGAAGCAAGGACCACAAGGAAAGAATGCACATGGATATTCCTGGGCTTAATTTCAGGAAAGAACAACAAAAGGTCAAAAGGCTAGTTCATCCAGGAGTTCTCTAGCTGGCTTTTGGAAAGACAATAACCTGGCTTGCGTGGAAGGTTATAGTAGGATCTTGTAGAATTCTGGTTTAGGAGATTAATTCATCATGAATCCTATTTTCAGTGGAAATGCAGCTGCCAAATCTTAGCACGGGCTCTCTAGCTCTGAAATCAAGATAAAGAGGGGCAAAAAATAATTTAAGTAAGGCAGATGGCCTCTATTTGGCTATAATCCAAATAATATGGGTGAAATTAATTGATGGGTGAAAGTTATTTAAGGCTATATAGGACTGATTAGCACAGTTTAAGAAGGGGCAAGAACTATTTTGCTTTTTCCTAAGGACATAAAAGTATGCCAAAGCAATGAACTTACGCTGTGCATATACTATACATTCTGCCTTGAGCTACGTCT